TGTTGTGACGGTGTCCCGGTCATGTTGTGATGGTGTCCGGGTCATGTGATGCTGGTGTCCTGGTCGTGTTTTGATGGCGTCCCTTGGGTCATGTTGTGATGGTGTCCCGGTCATGTTTTGATGGTTTCGCGGTCGTGTTGTGACGGTGTCCTGGTCATGTTGTGATGGTGTCCGGGTCATGTGATGCTGGTGTCCTGGTCGTGTTGTGATGGCGCCCCTTGGGTCATGTTGTGCTGGTGTCCCGGTCATGTTGTGATGGTGTCCCGGTCATGTCTTGATTGTGTCCCAGTCATGTTGTGATGGTGTCCCGGTCACGGCGGGTTGCCAGCCCAGCTGCGGGAATCTCGTCAGGTTTGTATCCCAAAACAGACTAAGGCACAGAACGGATTCCTTGGCATTGAACATGTTCGACCGATCTCGGTCCTTTGTATTTGGTGGCGGACGTATGTGCCGCTATGGTGCGAACCCCTAGTATGCGGAACTGGTGCAAGAGCTTTCTTCACCCGGCGGTGTCGCACGGAGCTGGCGCTAAGGGCGCTGATGAAATGGCGTCGTCAATCCAGGAGGCGCTCATGCAGGGCGGTTTTTTGGCTACGCTGGATTGGTCTCAGGCCTATGACCGGATGAGGCCTGAGGCCACTATGCAGGCTCTGCAGTTGCTTGGATTCCCTGCACCTTGGGTGGCCTTGCTCTCCCCAAGGGTGCCCGGTGGCACCCATGATCTTGGCCATCTGGACGTCCGCTGGGATCAGGTACGCGGCCTCTCAAACGAGATCCTTTGATGTTCAGCATTTTGCTCACATGGACGACAGGACCTTCTTCTGCAAAAAACTTGATGGCGTCAAAGCCGCGATCGATGCTTGGGCTACGTGGTCCCGTGAGGTCGGGTTGAAAGAAAGCCTCACCAAAACCCAAATTTGCGGGAAAACCAAAAAGCAGCTTCAAGAGATTTCAGTCCCGATTTGAGAGTGTCAGGCCCGGGCGTATAGCCCTTTAGAACAAACTCGCATCAAGGATGCTTTAATTTGTGCTCGTTTTCTCCAAGTCGTGCCTCTCTCGTGGTCCTTGATGATCAGCTTTCAAACCTTCGTTATGTCGAAGGCCAGTTTTGGTTGGGTTGGTAAGTGGCCCACCCAGGATACAACGAATACGTTGTTCGGTCGGCTCGCTGCTGCCTTGGATTCTTCCCGGGGAGCGGCCAGACAGCTTCCGAAGCTCTTCTACGGAGCCATTAGAAACGCAAAGACGCCTGAGCAGAAGCTGAACTGGGTGACATTGGGTTTGATCACTTTGTTCAGATTGATTTAAAGAGTTCAAGAAAGGAGTTGGAAACGAATGGTGCTGTGAGAGCCGCCTTCCTTGGCTCCTTTGTCTCGACCGCGGCACTTTAGTGCATGTCAGAAAGCAGATTACCATCAGTCACCATTGAACAGCAAGGTATCGAGACACATTGCTTCAACGATTGATCGCCTTTGGCAGATTCGACACAACAAATGATTTGCTGGTTTCACACTGAGGACTGCCGTGTACTTGCTCGTATACGCAGTCTAAGGAATTTCACCCAGGTTTTCTGCAGCATGGATTGTGCGGCGGACCCTTTGCCAGCTGCTCGCATTCTTCGGGCGGCAGCTGTGATCAACTTCGACGACGAAGAAAAATGCAAGATTCGGCCAGTTCGCTGTTTCGAATGCAACAAGGAAATGCGCCGCTTGCTGATCCAATCAATTAAACCCAGAGCCGAGATTTGTGGGATCGTGGTGCTTCCTTTTAGACTGCCATGCTTTCAGCCGAAAGCAGGAATGACCAAAAAGCTGTCGTTGCGCTGACAAAGGCGTGTGGAGGAAAAACCGTCGAACCAAGGAAGAAATGGTTGATGTGTTGAAAACGGCAGCTGTTTCCAGATTTTGCTTTTTGTCCCGGCTTGTATCTTGCTATTGGGGTCTCCAGCTGGGCTAATTCACCCAACAAGTGGGCGGTGTTTTTGCGGAGTTTTTTTCCAACAACGGTGGCTTTACTACATATAGGGATTTTGTCTGTTTTCAATGGCTTTACACTAGTAAGGACAATGTTTTTACAACACCAGGTCAACGGACCTCTTGAACATTGGTCGACGGCCGCTCGGGCGTCCCGCGCCAGGTGGTGGCGCAAGCTGGCCTCGACTTCCATGTGGCTTGCCGGAAGGCGCCGCACTCCAAACGGCCTGGCACCTTACTGCGCTTCCTGCGCTTTGGCGGATGGAGATGGAGATGGGTGCAGGGGGTGCCGGGGGGTTGGGAATCTGGTGTGAAAGAGAGCGGGGTAAAGTGAGGTCAAATGAAGGGGGGAAGCCCGACTGCAGGGTTTGGTTTCCAACATGGGTTGGGCCGGTTGGGTGTTGAAGCCAACGCTATTGTGTCTATGCCAACACCAAAGCCAAGAATCCTTCTGGGTGGTCACCCTTTTTTGCTTCAGTTGGTGGCTGGTGGCTTCAGCTGGTCCTGGTGGGGAAGAGGGACTCGTTTGCTCGCCTCATTTTTGTTTGTGCTGGAAGGGCAGGTGATGTTTGTTGCTTAGTCGTGCTCCGATCGGCAGTCTCGTCCGACTCCTTTTTTGGTCAAGGGACTACGAGCAAGTGAAGATGATGTGTTTCAGGGGTTTTGTGAGAGGATCGGGAGTAGTTTTATAACGTGTTTTTTGTTGTGTGGCTTTCCCAACTCACTTTCTGATGGGCACGGCATGTCTGACAAAAAACACACCCAATCCAGGTAGCGGCGGTAGGGCCGGGTGTATGACGGATGTCTCAGACGGGTGCGGTCGACCTGTTGCGATTGGACCAGTGCCGCCAGTGACTTGACCAAAAAGCGATAGAAAACCCGTGTCGAAGGGGTTGAAAAAGGCGATGAAGCCTGACTCAGCCTTCAACAGAGCAGGATGTCTTTGGTTTGGGCACTGCAAGGTTTTCTTGCAATCAAGGCCCAGATCCAACTCGAGAACCTCTCAGTAGGTAGACACTTTTTCATGCCGTAGAGACCTTTGGTAGAGAAAGACAACATCCAAACTGAATCCAAACGCTTTCTAAAAGTGCGCCGTCTATGTCGATGTTAGGAGGCATCTTCTTCTCTTGTTCATAAAGACAAGAAAGGGTCAGAATGCTAGAAATGCATTGGGCGATGCAGGAGGTAACTAAATCCACGGAACTCATTGGAATACAAACGCCTGAACATTAGGAGAAGTAAAGGCAGGTCTGATTGTCGTGTCAGAATACTCGTTCACCGCTTCATTGTGTTATCCAAGGAGAGCTCGAAACTGGAACCAAGAGTGGGGGCGCCTGGTATTGTTTCTCCACCAGGCAAGTGGAGTACCACCCGTCAAAGATATGAGTTAGGTCGTACATTTAATGGGTGACATATTATGAGGCTAGCATAGCATCGACTAGCCACTTATCAAGGCTGATGAGAATCATGTGTTCTCATCGATCGTTTGGCTTTGGGTTTGTTTGGCCCAAATGCACCCTTGTCCCGGATTCAAAAGCCACCCTTTCTCAACGAGATATTGCATGATCTTCTTGTATTTTTTGAGGCTAGGCACGACATGTTCAGACATACAGACCACTGAGAGGCTCCGACGACTGGGTCATCCCTGGGTCCGGGAGTGTGAGTCAGAGAGGTCCCTGGATCTTGTGAGTGTGCCTTCCACTAGATCTTGTCAGAAAAGATGTGCCTGGAGCGAAGCACAACGAAGGGATGAAAACAGCGGGACGTTCTTTTTGGGCTGCGAAGGGACCGGTCGCCGGTCGGATCTGGCATAGCTGGGACCGAGCAGATTTTCTCGCTTCCAGAGATCCATCCATTTCTTTTTGGGTTCGGTGCCGGATGTTTATCTGTTTTCTTTTTGCGAAGGATGTCCGGTAGGGGTTCACCGTATTTGAGTGTGCATGAAGCACCCCTCATGGATCCCATATGGCCGACTTTCCACTACACATCGTGCTCGGGTGCGCTCGGTGCTCGGTGCTCGCTGTGACTCTTGAACCTGGGAATGTTTGTGCCCCCTAGCTCTTGGCAAGTACGCGTGGTGCTTTGGCCAACTTCAACCGCCAAGTGCTTTCTATTTTTTTTGTTTTCCCAACTGCCCAAAGCTTAGCTATGGCATGATATGGCCTACAGTCGGCTTCAGTTGGCCAGAGAAGCTATCGAATCTGCGGCTGTGCTCGAGGCTCTCACTGAAGCTGCTTCAGGAGGCCCTCGACTGGCGTCGAGCCACTTGGCAAAGTTCTCCACCCTCGAACTGGTTGGCGGTTGGATCTTGTAGGACACTTGAGCAAGCGCCAAAACGTGCCATGACCAGTAAAGGGCGGTCGTGTTGATGGTTTTTGGAATTTTCTCAAACTGGCGCAAGCGACCATGCCCCCCGTCAACAGCAACCATGCCGCCCCCGTCAACAGCAATTGGAATATGTTGCGTTAAAAGTGTGGCCGGGACCTGAACAAGCGAGAGACCACACGTCCACGTCCCCTTTTCAAAGAGAACATATCCAAAAAGGTAACACAGCTTTGTGGCTTTGGAGGTTTTTCTCACAGGTCCCTTTATCTCTTTTGTTTTCTAAGTTTTCTCCCTCAAAAGCGATCACCTTGTTGAATGATGTCCTCTTTGATACACGACGGGCTTGGCAGATGCTCACTTGGTTCCTCTCTTAACCACTTGACACCTGCCCCATGCATGGAGGTCCCAACAGTCTGCTCTCCACCCAGTGTTTCTATGGTTATATATTGGGCAGTCGCCTTTCCACTACAAGCACACGGGGTTCCCTACTGGCGTACTGAAGGCGAAGGGTTGCCATGCCCATCTGGGCATCGGAGGGTGATGACCACGGGTCAAATGAATATACCAGGATCTACCAGGGGAACCGTACCAAGGATTAGGGCCGGGTGCCAGCATGTGATATTACTTGAAGAGATTGACCTGAAATGCAGCCGCCTGGTCTATTCAGGAAATCGGTGAAAGTTGGAGTCCAGCCCTGTCCACCCATCATCCCCAGCCACAGCACCAACCGTCCAGCCCTGTCCTGGCTATCTATGCGCTCCATTTGATCAAGGACTATCAACTGGAGGAGAAGCTTGAGGCCAAGGGATGGGAGTGAAGGTGGGATGGCTGGATCACGGACGGCCAGGGTCGACGACCAGGTTGGACTAGGGAGTGAGCGAGCTGCTGATGTGGGCACCCAACAACCAGCTGGTGCGGATCCGGCTCTCACAAGTAGCGGTGTTTCGGCCATGGAAGGCCTTCCAAAAAACGATGACTAGTAGCTTATTGTTTCTAATGGCTTTTTGTTACTACTAGTAAGGCACCTGTTACTACTAGCGTGGCACCTGTTACTAGTAGAGTATCATTACAGATGTTGATGTAGATGAGGTAGATGATGTTCTACCATGTTCTACCTCACTGCTCATCTACCTACGAAGGTGCGCCCAGACGCGCGTGGCCTGGGCCTTGGCCACAGAACCCCCTCCCTCTCATTTGCTCACAAGATCCGATAATTATTGTCCAGGGAACACCCAACCTCTATATATATATATATATATGTGAATCGTGACATGGCCGTATGAACCGCAGGAACCCGATTGCTCAGGCATAAAACGGGCGCCGGTGCGATGCCCCGGGTGGGGCTACCGCTGCTACATTGCCACCCGGGGCAATAGAGTGACCGCGGCTGGTCACGGCGACATGGCGTCATCTTCAGACCAAGGTCTGAAGAGGTTCGGTGGCGAAGAAGAGGATCCTGGTAAACAGCTGAAGAAATGGAGGACCTGGGCTCTGGCCAAAATGATGACATTTAAGGATTTCAAGAAAGAGTCCAGGGGACCATGGCTGTTGACACTCCTCGACGGCAAAGCATGGGATGCTGTGGAGCATCTTTCGTTGACAGAGCTCGCCACCGCCGACGGCGAGCGAATGCTGTGGGAGACCCTCAGCGATCGGTTCCCAGAGAAGGAACAGCATGATGTGATGGGAGAAGTGTTGGGGGATGTGTTCGGCCTGGTGGCCGCAGAAGGAGAGTCCATGAAGGTGTGGACCGCAAGGGTCAAAGAGACCTTTGACATTTGCAAACGCAAAGCATCAGTGGAGTTCCCTCCAGCCGCTCGAGGCTGGGTCGCCTTGCATTGTGCTGGATTGAATGAAGAGCAAAAGGCCATCGTGAAGGCCAAGACACAGGGCAGCTTAGATCATGATGCGGTCTCGGCCGCTCTTCGTTCGTGCTTTCCACTGTATAAAGCCTCTGCAGCTCGCAAGAAGAGTGCCTCCGTGTTCCAAGCTGAACTGGTCACAGGTGAAGATGCCCTTCCTGCTGAAGAAGAGGACAACCAGTTCCAGGATGTCGAGGCCTTTTTGGCTGATCATGATGTTGAACCCAGTTTTCACGATGATCTGGTGCTTTCAGAAAGTGAAGCAGCCGAGGCCTTGGCGGTGAGCTGGAAGGAGAGACGCAAGGAAATTGCGAAGGTCCAACAGTCACGACAGTTTGGGTCGGTCTCTTCATCCTCGACAACTGGCACGGCTCGACGACAGTTTCGAGTACAGGTTGAGGAGCTGAAGAAACGTACCAAGTGCCGCCGATGCGGCAAGATTGGTCACTGGCAGAAAGAGTGCAAGGAGACAATCAAGCCTTCTCCAACGACTGGGGTCAGCTATGTGGAAGCCACTTCAAGTGACACTCTCGTGCCGGCCTTTGTTGGAATGACTGAGTGTTTGTCTGCTACAGAGAGCTTGCATGCATCCCTGATTTCGTCGCCGGGGTACGGCATTGTTGATTCGGGGTGCGGTCGTACATTGATCGGACGCAGTACATTGCAGCAGTTGGAGAGCATGATTGTTGACAAGGGCTATGCCAAGCCTGTCCGTTATGCCACAGAGAACACCTTTCGCTTCGGCAACGGTGCAGTGGAAACGTCAACTGAGGCTGCTCGAATTCCTGTTGGCGTTGGTTCCCAATATGGCATCATCGACGCTGCAGTGATTGCCGGAAGCGCTCCGTTGCTTCTGGGACGTCCGACATTGCAACGTCTGCAGGCTCAGCTGGACTTCTCTGCTGGGAAAATGACCGTGTGTGGCAAGGTGACAGACATGATCACCAATGAAGCAGGACAACTGTTGGTTCACATCCTCTCGTATCCGCCCAACAAGCCTAGTGCACCTGCAGCTACTCCGCAGATTGAGCCCAAAGTGAAAGCAAAGTCCATCGAGCTGGACTCCAAGGCTGGAAGTGTGAAAACAAAAATCACCCTCAAGAAAAAGGAATGTCGGTCTTTCTTGGCTCAAACCAATCGATCCGAAGCTCGCTCGCAGTCTCGCATTCTTGTCGCTGAGCTTTTCTCACCCCCAAGATTTGCTACAGTAGCTAAAAGTTGGGGACATGAAGGCCTGTCGTTCGACATACTCCAGGGTTGGGACTTGGAGGATCCACGAATTCAAGAGAAAGTCGATCGAATGTTAGATGAGGCTGCACCAGCATTGTTAGTTGTGTGCCCTGAGTGCAAGCATCGAGGTGGATGGGACCACCTCAACCGACGCTTTCGCACTCCACTAGAACAAGCTCGCCTGATCCAGAAGTCCCGTCGGCAAATTCGTTTCTGTGTGCAACAGGTACATAAGCAGATCAAACGTGGGGGAGATTTCATTTGGGAACACCCACTGGGATCCGAGATTTGGGAAGAACCCCTGGTCAAACCCCTGAAACGAAAGTATGGACTCAAGCGAGTGGATATGTGTGCATATGGGTTGAAGTGTCCTGATTCACAGTTGCCCATTCTCAAACCCACGGGTCTGCTGATGTCCACATCAGCCGAGAGGGACTTGAGCCACATCCGAACATGTCCAGGTTGCGCCAAGCATAGACCTATTGCTGAAACTGTTTGCGTCAGAACCCAGTCAATCTGGCATGGATACAGAAGCGCTCCTGTCGGAACTCGATGTGTCCTGTCTTGCAGCGGAACCCATCGCTGCTGAACCTGTGGCAGCTGAGATGGCTAGAGCCAATGAGGAAGAAGAGCAATCAGTGTCAGGAGAATCTCATGAGAATGTGAAAAGAGCACTGAAGCGATTACACACTATAATCTAGGCCATCCGAGCAATAAAGATCTCGTTCGTATCCTGAAACATAGCAAAGCCTCAGAGACAGCCATCCGTCTGGCCCAGGATTTCTCGTGCCCAGTGTGCCAGAATCACGTGCAACCGTCCAGCGCATTGCCAGCAAAGAGCTCACGTCAATGGACGTTCAATGATCGTATTGGCATGGATGTGAAATATTTGCCTGGATGGAAGCCGAATCAACTGGTGCCATGCGTGAGCATCGTTGATTATGCGACCTCACTTCAAGTCATGGCTCCGATCTTTGAGCGTGAGTCGGCCGAAGTGCTGAAAGGAGTCCTTCGAGATTCTTGGATATCGTGGGCTGGTCCGGCTCAGCAGCTAGAGATGGATCCCGCCAAAACCAATCTGAGTGAATCCCTAGGTTCCTTTTGTGAGTCTTTAGGTATAGATCAAATGTTCACGGCTGCTGATTCGCATTGGCAACTAGGAAAGGTAGAGAGACACGGTCAATGGTTTGCGAGGATCTTTGAAAAGGTCATAGATGAGTGTCGACCTACATCCGCTGAAGAATTCGTTGATTGTGGTCTGCAAACCCAAGTAGCAAAGAATAGCCTCATCACAGAACAGGGAGCAAGTCCATATCAACTGGTGTTCGGTCGAAACCCCAGGGTGCCAACTGATCTCCTCCAAGAAGATCCACATGTAGCGGCCTCAGATGCCATCCTCATGGACAGTGGAAGCCAACGGTCGAACGATATCCGTCAGAAAGCACGTCTCGCGGTGCTGCAGTGCCAAGACCATCGCGCCCTCGGGCGGCGCTCCGTGCTCGACCTCGGCCTCGCAAAGATATTCAGTCAGGGGATTGGGTATATTACTGGAGGTCACAGAAATGGGATCAAGGTAATCTAATCAAAGGGGGTAGATGGCATGGTGCCGGAATGGTCCTCGGTCGACTGGGAGTGAACTGGATTGTTGCTCATAGACGTAGTCTGTTTCGTTGTTCCCCCGAACAGGTGAGACTGGCCAGTGATGAAGAGAGAGTAGTCGCTCAGTTCGACTCAAATGAGCTTCTGGGTATTAAGAACCTCCTGGAGAAGGGTCAATTTCCGAAGGGTCAATTCGTCGATCTAGTGAACTCTGACAATCCCCCAGAACCAGAGCAAGCTTTCGAACAAATCCGCAATCAGGCAATTCGAGCCCAAGAACCCCTGACTGCAGCAGAGATTCGAGCAAGCCAAGTTCCAGAGCAGGTAAATGCGACCTCTCCACCCGTGCCCATGGACACGAGTGAACAGATCGAACCGGTCCCTTCAGTCAGGTCTCGGACAGAAGATTATGGACCCATCCGTAGGATTAGGCACTCCGAGAAATCTCCACCTCAGTACCTGAGCCGGCCACCAGTCATGGCCCAAGATGATTTTGCTGAAATGATGCAGGAAGTGATTCCGTCCCTGATAGAACGGCATCTCCAAGATCATGGTCCCAGTACAGAGGTAGAAAGCACAGTGAGTCCTCGAGGGACCAGCTCTAAACGAGAAGCCAGTCAAGATCCCTCAGCTGATTCACCACCACCACGAAAGCTGAAAACAGGTGACGAAGATGATATGCTGCTTAGTGAAGTGTTGTCTGCCGATGTCATCCGACACGACAAGCTCTATGGACGAACGTTCATTGAGACACTCACTGCTGCCTTCTTGCAGAAACGTCAACAGAAAGAAATCAAAGCTTATGGAAATGAACCTGACATGCAGCAAAAAAATCGATGAATCCAAAACCGGGGAGTGGGAAACACTAGAGGGTAAGAATGCTGTTCGGGTCTGGAGAGGAGCACAAGCAGAAGAAATTCGTCGTCGGTTTCCCGATCGTTTTATCGGAAGCCGCTTCGTGGTGATCAACAAGCAAGATGAAGATGGAGCTCGAATCAAGAGCCGCTGGTGTCTTCAAGGACACTTGGACCCTGATTTTCATGACAAAATCACTAGTGGAGCCTGCCATAGTCCGACCATGCATCCTGTTTCACGAGCCTTGTTGTTGCAAGTCATCGTAAGTAGACAGTGGGTTCTTCAGCTAGGAGACGTCAAAGGAGCTTTCCTAGAGGCAGGTCCCATAGCTAAGAAGTATCGGCCACTGTATGCTTCTCAACCCCCAGGGGGTGTACCTGGTCTGGATCCTAATGATGTGATAGAGGTTCTTGGAAACGTTTATGGGTCCAACGACGCTCCAATGAACTGGTGGGGAACGTTCGATGAAGCCGCACGTGCAAGCTCGTTTCGTCGATCGCAATTCGATAGCTGTCTGTACTTCTTGCATGATCCAAAGACCGGTGATTTGTGTGGTATCCTAGGCTCACATGTTGACGATACCATCACAGCAGGAGAAGGTCCACTGTATGAAGATGCCATCGCAAAGCTCAAGCACACAGTCAAGACACTGACACCAAAGAGATCTCGTACGGCCAAAAAGAATATGCTGAACACATGAGACCTATAAACATGACCAAAGAGAGAGCTCGTCAGAAAGAGTCACTCGCTACAGATAGAGAAATATCCGTGCTTCGGGCTGTCAACGGCGCAGCCAACTGGCTGAGCAGTCAGAGTCGGCCGGATCTGTGTGTGCAAACATCATTCTCTCAACAGTGTTTTCCAGAGCCCAAGGTAAGTGATCTTCATTGTGCAAACCAACTGGTGCATCGAGCAAAACAATACAGTGGGGTAGAAATCACGGTGAAACACATCCCATGGTCTCAGTTGGAATTGTGTTTTCATTCTGATGCAGGATTCGGTAATGCAAAGGGTCATAGTACTCAAGCTGGATACATCGCCGCTTTCGTAGGTCCAGGACTCCAGAAAAACCAAGAGAGTGTTTGGTCCCCTTTCTGTTGGAAATCATATAGATTGCCCAGAAAAGTAGCATGTGCACTAGGAGGCGAGGCTCAGGCATATTCAACGGCCTCAGCAGTATGCGAATGGATGTCCCTCATGCTTGCAGAAGCTAAAAACGGACCTTTCGACTTGAGGACATCGGAACAAGTTCAGGACTTTCCACCTCAATCCAATTCGCAGTTGAAGTTTCGTGATCAGATCGAACGTGTGCCAATTACAGGTATCACAGCTTGCAAGTCCTTGTTTGACAATCTCACTTCGGTCTCTGCCATATCCAAACAAGAAGATAAAAGGATTGCTATTGACCTAGGTATAGTGAAACAGTCAATGATTCGTTCCGGCCTTAAGATCAGGTGGTGTCCGACGGAACTGATGCTAGCTGATGGTTTAACAAAGCAAAGGATCAGCAGGAAGCAGCTGACCTCCTTCGCTCAGCCTTGTCCCTTGGCAAATACCAGCTGCATGCCGAAGCTCAAGTGTTGGCACGCAAAAAGCAACTGAGAGAAGAGCGCACAACTCGAAGGATTCGACAACAACGTATGGAAGCCGAGCATAAAGAAAGAAAGAAGCAGAAATGGATTGAACGCCAGGAGCCACAATTGTGACCTCCAAGGATCTGCTTCGCTTCCACATTTTTGTTTGGGTGAGTTTGCATGAATTTTATTTGATGTTTGGGGTGAGCATGCCATGTGATGCTGCCGAACAGGGTTATAGAAATCTTGCTCATAGCGTTGTCGGGTGAACCCGATGGCAACGGCATGTTGGGGAGTTGGAACACTCAGGACAATCACTGAGTGCCGTCATAATATGAATTCATAGTGTTTGTCAAGTTGGGGGCCAAGGTTGATCTCGGAGAGCACACATCGATCGTTCGCATCGCAGGGGTTGTGATTTGTATAAGTCAAATCCAAGAAAGCAACTGTTCGCAGTGGCACAGGGGAAGTCAAGGCTTGTCAGCTTTGAATGCGATGAACATGTCATGTGGCTCAAAAGCAGTGAAGCACGCTCGAACACCCTGATCCTCAGAGTGTAAGTGCACCTTTGCCCGTACCTGTGTGTTAAAAGGTGGGTCAGCAAAAAGTCTGATCCAATGTGCATGTCCAAGAGCGCTCCAGTGTCTAAGGAAGCGTATGACTCGCTAAAGGAGCTCATGAAGTCCGGCCAGCTTTCCAGTGTCCTTGCCCAGGTTAAAGATGAAGTTGATGCTGAACTGGATGCCGCCTTTGAGCCCTCGTCGTATGGAAGCATGCATGATGGTTCAAAACGCCGCCTGTGCTCCAATGAGTCAGCTCGCGACCATGGCTTCGAGATGGTGAATGCCTCTTCCGGACCCATGCCATCATCAACGACAGTTCATCATGCGATGGGAATGTCCGAGAAACACCAGAAGCCGATCCCACCAGGAAAGGCCAGTGGCAAAGAGAAGGCCGTGGTGTTGCCAAATGGCATCAGCTCCTTGACCGAATGGGGAGCCACCATCTGCACCTTGCCCAAGGTCAAGAGTCAACACCTCCGCTACCACGAGATGCTGACGATGAGCCATGAATCGAAGGACATGTGCAGCTACCTGCAGTGGGTTCGCACCTCCGGCATTAGCTCCGCCAAGGTGCAGGACCTGAAGTCCTATATGGAGGCAATGAATTTCACGCCAGGCCCTTCGTCAAGCAGTGTGACCTATCCTGGCACGCAGATCGTTCGCGAATTTTGAGATTCCTAGGAGTGTGAATCGTGACATGGCCGTATGAACCGCAGGAACCCGATTGCTCAGGCATAAAACGGGCGCCGGTGCGATGCCCCGGGTGGGGCTACCGCTGCTACATATATATACTGCATATATTGTTTTTTTTTTGTTTGTTTTGTTTTGCCTTTTTCTTTTTGTTTTCCTACTGATCCTGCTGAGAGCAACTATTTATTGGGCCTCACATTCACATGGCCCAAATCTGGCAAAGAATCAATATTGAAGGCCTCGTGGGAAAGTGTTGGTGTGGAGACTGTAGTAGGTTCATAGCGCTTTCGCGCTTTCGCCGCTCCCTTTTCAGAAGGAGTGACGGACGCGGTCTGATCCACTGTTCACAAACCTTGAGAAGATTCTGAACACGCTGAAGGTATTGGACACTCCATGTGGTTAACTTCTTCAAAGATGATCTTTTTGGAGTCCCCTGACTGCCTGATCAGATCGGCCTGACTGCCAGTTCTCACCGAAGCAACGAACGGTTCTTCTAAGGATGGTCACGAACTGAAGAACCAGGTGGTTCGCGAAAACCCGAAGACCGAAGAACGCCACTGCTCCCTCCAGTCTCCTGCGGTTTTTGGTCGCGGTGGGGTTCCGGTTCCCGCAAAGCCCCGCGGCGTCAACAAGCCACCGTCGTTGAGGGGTGGTCCAATGGAATAGCCTGAAACAAACGTGGATCTACATTGAACGCCCCTGAATGAAGGGTTCTGATTAGATCTATATATTTGTATGTTTCATCCATGATGCTGCACTACCTGTTGGCACTCTGGAAGGGAAGGGAAGGGAAGGGCTGTGAATTCTTGCAGTTCGGATGTCTTCCAAGTTCCATCCACGCGGTATGGAGCGGGAGAGAGGAGTCGTTCCGCCTCTGGGAGTCGTTCCGCAGCCTTTTGACCTGGGCGAGCGACTTGTGGTGTTCCACATGGAGGATCAGAACATCAGAAAGAAACCTCTGGAGGAATCTGTGTCCAATCGGGTTCCAGGCCTTCTTTTTTTCACACATCCGAGGTATGCGCGCCAAGCGCATCCCGAGGTGGTAGACTCTGGTAGACGTCAGGCCTTTCTGGTTCACCAGTGCTGTTTCCGGGAAGCCTTGGCGATTCCTCTGGTCTTGGTGCAGGTCCGAAGAAGAATCACCAGCATCACAGTGACGGGTGTCGACATTGTCGACGTCCTATCACTGTGATTTCGAACCGCCTCTTCTTCGAAGTTTCCCTTCCCCCTTCCCGCTTCAGGCCTGGCGCGCGGAATGGCAAGCCCAGCAATCGCGCCGGGTGCAGCTTTGGAGGACGAGCGACGGGTAGCGCAGCGCCGGGGGGTACGGTAGCGCCTCTTGGAGAATATATATGTTAATATGTTATTTATTTGTTCCCGGCGTTCGAAACCCGCAAGAAAGAATGACCCCATCAGATCCAGGTGTCAAGGCCAAGGTCTTTGGCCGCTCACATCCTTCGACCTGGTGGCTTGGTCGGTCGTTGAACTCACCTCTGGATGGACGAATTTCGCTGCAGCTGTTTCGGGGGGGTTGGAGGCATTTCTATCGGCGGTCGTTTTAGTCACGCACTTCCAGGATGGAGCACCAGCTGTTGTCAGGGATCATAGATTTTATCATAGAATAGATCTTAAGTTAAGGCAATGTTCCTTTTACTTAGTCACTCAGTGATGTTTGGGTCGGAACCTATTTCATGAGTCTTTCACAACATGACCGTCGCAGCTTTCCCCCATGACCTGTGTCGCAGCAGCCCCCCATGCCATCGGCCAGGAAGTATGGCTACATCAAGCAGATCGGCTTGGATCATGATGGCCCCATACCCAGAGATTGAACGAAGACATTCTCGAATTGGTCAATCCCAGGGAAAAGGGGAACACCCCCCCGGGCAGAAACGCAAGCCCTTTGCTGAACCAGGGCTGTTGCTTGCAACTGATGAGGGTAGATGCATGCAGATGATGTTGGCCCTTTGCATTCTCAGGCATGCAACTGCCTGCTCCTCCCCGTCAAACTTGTTTTTGCAATAGAGTAACATGCCACAGGAATGATATGCAGAGCGACGGAAACTACTAGAGCCTGCGACCGACTGGCGGGGTCATGGTAAATACCATTGCCAGTCGAGGATCTGCGTGATACAACTGGCATCCAACAGATTCAAAAATCCACTGCGAACACATTCTATGTTGGGCTTCGACAACTTGATCGTCCTACAGTTCTAAGTGAAACAATTAAGTCTTCAGCATGGACAAGCAATGGAGGTTTGTTTCCCCTGCGTTCACCAGTAACGTGGACACATTCACCAAGTGTTTTTTCTTTAACCACTCTCAGTTGAAGGCATCGACTTGTTCTCTCAGCTTTTGTCGCCCTCAACGGGCAACAGGTAGAAGAGGCCCCTCTACTTCTTTGGTCACCTGAGTGGGTCGATCGTCCCCTTTTCTCACGCCGAGCGAGCTCAGGGCCTTTCCGACCCCCCCCAAGGCCGACCCACAGGACGTCTGCTCCGGACGTCAGACCTCCGACGCCGAGGCCTGCCCATCCATCTGCACCGGCTCTCGCAGTGTGACGCTGGTGGCTTGGCGCGTGAGGCGGGCGATGAGGCGGGCGAAGCGGGCGCGCGCGCGGGCGCGGCCGCGGCGAGCCCGGAAGTTCCCCACGAAGAAGTGACACTTTGCCACACAGCTTTCTTGCTGCGAAAGTCGTGGGTTGACTCCTCATTGTCCGATGCTGGAGCATTTGAGCGGAGATTTTTTTTGACATGAAAGGGTTTATACAAGATGTAACCTTCAAAAGGCTGGCGTAGGCAACCTGCTTGGGGACGTAGGCGGTCGTAGGCATTGTATGGTCCAATGTGTGTCGTAGGCGTTTGCCGTAGGCGACCGAAATCGACTGAAATTGCATGTCTTGAAGTCACCCAGCTTGTGTTTCTGATTCAAATTAGAATTGACAGTGTTTTTTTGTTTCAGTTTCTTGTAGCAGATGTCTTTCATCTCATAGTCTGAGACATGAACCAGGGCAGTTTGCAAGGGCACCTAGAATGACCACCAGAGAAACACGCAAGACATTGCAATGCAACCACACTACCAAGACTACCCGGGAGGTTAGAAAGGCCACTGTTTCTGTGTAAGAGGTGAGAACTCCCAACAATGTCCCAAACAACTCTTTTGTGTTGTTTTCCTGGGGACATTTTCCGTAGGCTCACCGTAGGTTCTCCGTACAGGCACCGTAGGCGAAAATGATTTTTTTTCCCCCATGTCCGCTTGCCTATAATAGTACTCTCAAATAGATGTTAAAACCTGCTGTTCTGAGAAGTATTCCCAATGTCGAAGACATGGGGAGACTATACGCGTCAGTGCACGTCCCGCGTGGTATCGTCCCTCGCCCCCGAAGTAATGTCCAAAACTCATGATGAGCGTGAAGTCGTTGCTTGCTTGTCTTCCGTTGTGGAGCACATAGCCAATGAAACCAACTTGCCCATCGTAGAGTGCCAAGCTCATCATCTGAAAGATAAAGGGTCAGCTGCTGCGTAAACGTTTCCACTCGCAAGAACTGCATGGTACCGTAGGCAAATTGGAACAGTAATGCTCCAAAACCTCACGTTCGTTGATTTCCCGTAGGCGATGTGGAATAAACCATGTCTGCCGTAGGCTTTCACTGTGGAAACGTAGCCAAACCGTAGGGTTCTACGTAGGCACCCAAGGATGATAACACCACCACATCTTTAAAAAAAATCCCTGCTCATTTGAGCATTTTGCGTTGTGTAAGGCGTGTGCAGGGCAAAATGCCATGTGGGAAACGAGGTGCAGTCGTTTCCGTGAGTGCGTTTTGTGTCATGTGCCCTGTTTGAGTAGTCTGCGATTTGCGTGGCTTCCAGGCCTTCCTGCTCTACCACTTGATGATCTTGGAAGACTGCCGCTGGGCATTCAATGTTGCTGCCTTGTGCTTAGTAGGGAATGAGGGAATGGATCCAAAGGAATCTCTATTGGGAGCTCATTCCCGTATTCCCTGCTAAGCACTAGTCAGGGTGTGCAAGACCCATTCGGATTTGCTTTGGATGCCGGAAGAATTATTTAGTGGGCTGGTGCGTCATCCGAACCTTCGAGTAGTAGTCAACTCAGCTCCCACGATGGACCCTCTATGTCGATCCCATGGTCCCATGCTCTCGCCCACCTGGCACCGGGGTATTGTGGATCATGGCACCGGAGTACCAACCGCTTGACCACCGAAAACAACCGACCGAACGGACTCCTGCAGGAGGTCCGGGCCCAGCCCACCGGGCACCGTGCCGGGCACCGGTGCCACGTTGGACTGAGGCTTTGAGGCGGCGCAGGAGCGAATGCTGAAGAGTGGGAAGTTGATCACGAATTTCGTGGACGTCTACGACCAAGGCGCGGGTTGAAACCGCTTTGGAAAGCGGTTTCGGTTTTCGGACGCGTGAGTTTTCGTCTGTTTCCGGTATGGAACGACGCAAGAATTCCGCGGGTTGGAAACCGCATTGGTCCCTGCTTTTGATGTTTTTCGCCTTTTTGGCCTGGTGCGTGGTTCTCTCAGTGTATGGTTTGTTTGGGAGGACTTCTGGTTGCTTTTCGGCTCACATGTGGGGAGGCGCAAGAGTTTTCAAACTAAACCCACAACAGCTTCCATTTGCTGAGAGGAAAGGAGTCGAGTTGGACAGCGAACGGGACCCAAGAACGAACCTCATATCGAAGCTCTGTTCATCCCTGTTGCTACTTGAGATTCTCCACAGCACCCCTTCGTTTGTCTTTACAGGGGACTGAGTCTTCCCTGAGAAGCGTAGGCGACTACGGCCTGGTGGATGGCTATTTGCGGCGTGGGTATAAGGCTTGGGAGCGCGGTCGCCCAGGGCGGAGGCAACGCTTTGGGTAATTGACCGAAAGTGATACCCTGGAGAAGGCGCCAAACCTGGAGAAGGTGAGATATGATTGAATTTTGTTGCCCTTCTTCCTGAAAAAAGCAGTGTATAGACATATACTACTACATAATTATTAGATCTATACTATATGAACTGATTCAAAACCTTGGTAAACATGAACAACCATTTGTGCAGAGTCGGGACTGGTTTATTTGTTCTGCGATTGAAGTCTTGGTTTAGAGGGTTCACCTCTGACTCACGGAAAACCCCGTCGTGATCTAGTGGAAAAAAAAGGTAAGTCGTGGGTTGCAGAGAGTTCTTTTCAGTGCATTCATGGCGGCGTTTTGTTGCTGTATAGTTGGGTTATTGCTGGGCAGTCTCTATTGCGACCGTGGTGTGCAGGTTTCTTGAAACGGCGATTCTGTTTCCTTGTTCGGTATTGATTGCAAATTGTTGTGATGCGAAAATGCAATCTTATCATATTCTTTGGGAGGCAGCACGGCGATCATTTCCAACTTTGGCGAATGCTATGGACACGCAACAGAGTGGTGAAACCATGGGCTGGCAGTGATTGATTGCATGAACATCCATGGCGAATGCTGGCCAAAGCAAGACTGCCCTAGGTGTGAATTTCAACCTGCACCATGGAGTCCATGATGGAGTCTTTCTTCTTTCTTCTGGCATGACACAGGTCACGACCGCAGGCAGAGGTCACTCAGGCACCGCAGCGGTGTCGGTCGATGCGACGGAAGACCCACGGTCGATGCGACGAGGGTCGACGTCGACGGAGTCCCAGAGCATCTCTGCATTCGACCGTTTCGATCAGACCCATCAAACAGCGATGAGAACGTGTTTTTTTTTTGTGTTTCGATGTTTTTAGGCCATCCGATCCAGATGGGCCGGATTTTGTGGATGCTTCACTCCTTTTTTGGAGGGTTTTGATTTGGGGATCCACATGGGCAATACAGTGGTCGACTCGTCGGCTGGAATGCGACTGGTCGAGTCGATTCTACCCAGGCCTTACAAGATGATGATTCCCATCCTGGACAAGGCGCATGGGGCCATGGGACGGTGAAATCCCATTCAGGCGGCAAGTGAACACCATGTGGGCATCCCCAGGCTGTGGGTTCAGTGCAAATCCAGGCTGTTCCCTTTGTTTGTTCGGGTTTTGTTGTGTTGTGCTGTGGGAAGATGCCGAGGGAAGCAGGAACTTATCCGGCAAAACCCAAACAAGAAAACACAAAGCCTTGCCTCCCCAACACCACAGCCCTATACTAATGGTCGCATGCATTGATGTCCTCTTCCTGCAGCGGTGATTGTTGCCACTGCCCTGGTGATTAAATCAAAGATGTGTGTTCATCACCAGCGCTCAAACCGTGTTTTGCTTCAGGTCTTGACAAGGATTCCGATCTATCACATCTGTCACTTCGGTCTTAGACTGTCACTTAGCACGATTCCGATCTTGGGTTGGAAACGATATTTCTTTGGGGATCTCCATTGGACACCCATGAGATAGTCTAATAGTCCAGGTATATTCTCTATGATTGTCCCTCCAATCCTGCGGTGGCCAGCCGGTTCCGGTGCGGTCCCAGGTCTACCCGGAACGGGTGCGAGTGGCCTTCATCCTGAGGCAGAGCCGGGCTGGTTGGGCAGTGCTTTAGTTGGGTAGAGTCCGTGTGGCCGCTGTGGCCTGCCTTTTTTGAATTGATTACGTTTCGTTTTTGTGTCAGAGGTATGATATCTTAGGTGCCCCAGAGGTATGATATCTACGTGGATGTTTGTTTCGAGTCTACAGAGCCGATGTCCTTTTCGAGGATCGTATCGCTGAATCTCTGCAGCTGTTGGGATTGGACGATGTGTTTTTTTTTCTTTTTAAGTATGTTTATCATTTTCTATTTATTTATTGTTACTATGACTACTACTATTGTTATTGTTGTTTTGTTTTCTTAATGATGGTTTTCCAAAAAGTTTCTACAGTGGTTGGACTTGACTAGCTGGCACAAGTTACCCCAAGTTGGGTGGTCGAAAAATGGATGCCACATTCTTAAAGACATTTTGGGGTGCCAGTGCCATCGAACCTCTGAAAACACTGTAAGAAGTTGGAGTTGTGGAGGGCATCAATGGTATCAACTGCTACGGCAGTTGATGGGTCAATTCACCGTCAACGTGAGGGACACTTCATAGACTCAATACTGGGAACATATGTGAACATAGAATATCTAATATAGAGGTTTTGACCGATGAGTTTGGCCCCGATTGACTGTCGCACCAACCTGTGACCGTGCAAGGTTGTTACAAATAGCAGCCACGTTTCAGAACCTGTAGGTGTTGAAGAAAGGATGGATGCACTACACAAGATAGACTATCGGACAAGTGCGTGTTTGGAGCCGGCCGGTGGCAGCCATTGTGAACCTTTTCCAGCAGTCAGTAAACCACATTCCATGCATATTTCGCAACCCAACCCCCCATCCACACCACAACACTAGCTGCTGAACAGGGTCTATGGAAGGGATTTGGCAGGGGTGAGGGAAATGTCACGACAAGGATTTTCCGCTTCCAGCTTGGCTTTTCGGAGACGCTAGACGCTTTGGCTGGGGTCTGTCCAAACCATCCAACGTCATCGCCGTTCAGCTCGAGCTTTTTTTCGTGGATGCATTTAGGGTCTGTCCCAGGAAACCAGTTTAATATAGCAGTCCATAAAAGATGATCCAATGAAAAGACGCGTGTTATATATCCTCCCCCAAACCCAAGATCTATCAGTCAGGTGCCCTGCCGTCTTCGCCATCTTCTGGCGCCTAGTCGAGCCCTTCGTGCCGCCGGCCACGGCGGGGTGGGTCAGTTGGTGGTTTTTCGACACTTGGGTGGTCGGGGTGGTGGGCTCGTGGTTGGGGTTGGATGGTGGCCCGAATTCACATGGAAGCTGAAGGCTGATCAAGGTGGGCTTTGATGGTGGAGAGATTTGGGGTGATCGAAGATATCGAATCTTGCCGAATTAGGGCTAGAGAAATTTTGTATGTCACTCACTGGCAGTGGACAAGCTCCATTTTTTTCAGGGTGGCTTTGCTCGTCGAACACGGTTGAAGAAGGTGAACTTGGATTTTCCAACGGAAGATTTCAGGATGTTTCCGCGACGTACCCACCCTGTGGAACCCCAATGACCCGCGCACGAAAGAAGAGGTGAAGAAGATCCGCATCAAGGGCTACTCGGCCAAGAGCTATGTTGGAGAGATGAAGGCGAGGGGATGCGCATGGGCGAAAAACACATGCTTTGGTGCCGCAGGTGGCTGCGAGAAAACCGAAGCATTCGACGTTTTCATCTTTTTTTTCCATAGTTCGCTCTGTGCCTCTGTGCTGTGTTTGAACATCTGAAGATGCATGAAACGGTGTGTTGTGTTTGGGGCCCACTCCACCTACTGCAGATTTCGAGTCGCCCTCGGGCTTCGTCTCGGATCCTTGGGGTCGATTAAGCATGGTTCTTCTTGTGACGGATCCAGTCGTACCGAACCGAAGGTACAGTATATACTTGGACCCGAACGAAGCTACATAACAGTGTCTCCAATAAGCTTCTGAGGTTCGGTACGACTGGATCCCTAGCGCTTGTGACTAGTAGCCATGGCCTCCAACCTAATAGCTACTATAGTAATAAACTTGGTTGGTTGCGGATCTTGTTGCGGCTGGGATGGCCAACCCCTCGGGGTCGTTTGGTGCTTGCATTCCACTATCCCGGTCCTTTCAAACCCTGATCCAACCACGCTGCCTGTGGGAGCCCGCCAGGAATTCATGGTGGAATCTGTGATCCCGCCATTCTTAGGCGGGATCGGCATGGGTCGTTCCTTTGCTTTCCATATCAACCGGCGGAGGATGGGCTTGCTAGACCCGTTTCGGACGTGCCACGGAGGTGTTACGTCTGAAGAAGTGCTTCCGTCTGAGGTCGACCTGATTGGTACCCCACTGAAAACTCACATAGACCCTTATCCAACCACTGGTTTGTAGAGGAAAACAGTCTTTGAGGGTGCCATTCGACCCGGGTCCATGTTAGTTTTTGGGAGTGTGGTCCTTGGTTCCTGGTTGTCTCAGACTTGCGTGCAACGATGGGACTATTTAGGGGGGATGAAACCATCGTCCATCCATTTTCGAAGCTACTAGGGCCAGTAGGGGATCACTCATCCTACTCGGTTTGAGGGGCTCTGCTCCGCGCCAGCCGCCCTGGGAGGAAAGAATGGATCGAAACCATTAAGCAGCCACAGCAAAAGGAGGTCTTAGAGTACTGACCATTTTCCTCATCCCAAACAGGTGGTTTTCCACTTCCATGATCCATGACTATTTAAGGAAGTGTAAAAAGTTTTTGGAATTTTGGACCCTAAGACCCCGGATGGGGCGAGGATGGGGGATGTTTCAAAAAGATATCGCTTCTAAAGCTGACTCAGGTGGGTCGAACCACGTTTTTTGCCCGCCCTATCTCTGTAAGAGGTGGACCGCCATCGTGGCTGAAAAAAAAAATGCACTTTGCATGCTCGCAGTCTGCGCAGTTCTGGTGGCCTCTCCCGAAAGATACATACAATCGGAGTTCCGCTTGCGGGTAACGATCCGCTTGCTCCGCTTCCTGTTTAGATCCTTTTTCTCGGAGGAGAAGCGCCTTCCAGCTAATATCTCACCCTAAACCCTAAACCCTTTAGTGCCATCATTACATTGTATCTATATAATGCATGATGACTTATCATATTAAAAACCGAGTTCGAGGTATGGGTCAATTTCAAGTATGTTTTTCATGCTTTGTTTCAAAGGCATTGGGTTTTAGAGGCATTGGGTTGGGGAGACCGACGCCTTGTCGGTTGATCTATCCTCCGCTCCCACAGTCTCGTTCCACGACTGGCTGATACGTATCGGCCGACCTGCCGACGAGACGGGCCAGGCCAGGGTCTTATATGGCCAGGGTTTGTCCTAGCAAAACATTCATGTAACAGTCAGTATATCAAGAACATCACATAACATTTGAACCAGGCCTCATCATGCTAACCATCATCATCCACAACCGCCCTGGTATTGGGGATAGACCCAACTTAGACGCACTGCCATGTCCTGGGAGACCGACGCCTTGCCGAAACCTTGAGTGAACTTGCGAGAACGAACGCTGAGGGTAGTCCATTTGGGATCTGGGAATGAACGCTGAGGTTTGTGTGGGGTGAATGAAATCAATAGCCCACGCCCAAATCCGACCAACACACTCCCTGAAATCATCATGGAGGTGGAAAACCACCACCAGCTGCTGTTTGGTATTCGGATTTCATGGTCATCCGAAAATTAGGGCCATGCCATCCACTTATCCATGACCATTTCAGGACCCAAACACACCTGCTGTCATCGACAGGCAGCGATGATCGGGCCTTGCTGACCGTCGGGCTTGCTCAGTTGGAGAAGCGAAAAGATCGAAAAGCAGAAGCTGCGGAGCTTCTGGTGGGCTCTCCCCTATCGTTCCAGTTCACGCAGAAGCTGCGTTCGTTGTAGACGGCGCCCATTCCGACCGCTCGACCGGTCCGGTCGTCGCTGGTCGGTGAACTCCACGGTCGGTGTGGTTTGAGTTTTCGGAAAGACACTTTCAACAGCTCAGGATCTATGGTCATGGTCATGTCATGTCCTATTCGCTCTGGCTTTTTGGAGGGTATGCCGCATATGGTGGCCACTAGGTCACTCGGCTTCTTCCAATCACCTGCCCATGTCGCCCCATCCGTCTGTGCCGTCGTCCGTGGCGTCGTCATTCAGACGCTGCATCTCACCCGGTTGGAAAACCCCTTGACCCAAGATCCCAAACACTGGACCGGCATCGGACCTAGTTATAGGACAAACCTATCATCTCAGGATGGCGAGTGGTCAAAGCACAAAGCACTGAGTGGTTGAAAAGAGTGGTCTTTTCTCCTCAAACGGTCACACCAGACCCGGGCGGGACCGCCACCGTTTTCGGGTGCCGCACTCAGACCGCTGAGCCCTGGGGCGGCTGGGTGCCCAACGGAGGCGCATCTGACAGACGAGAGGTCTGAGTGTCCGGCCGATCAGGTCTGAGACTCATTTAAAGAACGTGGTGTGCAAGCAAAAATTAGTTTTCTTTGTTGCACTTTTGAGGTTGTTTGGTTTCTTGCCAAGGAGGGTAAGGTCTTGATCATGATAAATGAAGCCTATATTGACGAAATGTGAAGATGACTCTCTGAAGAGCAGATGTGTTATTATTGTTTTTCAAAGCTTTGTAAGCTCTAAGGTCTTCGATGAGAGCTTGTACGGTCTTTGATGTGAAGAAACACAAAGAACCTCCATCGGTGAGAGCTAGGATTGGGTGCGATGGGGTAATGTTTTTGTTCAAGAAATATTGAGTTTGTAAAGTCTGGTGGAGATGGCAGTGTTCTACTCATCGTCCGGTTGATGAAGAGGAAGAATGACTATATATAGCTTATTTGCATCTTTGCAAATCCATGGTCACAAACATACTTACCGCACAAACACACACAAACACATTTGACTTCTTGTTTGCCAGACTATATCTCGATGCGTGCTTTCTTCTCGCCAGGATAGCCATGCTTGGTCTGGGCCACTCGGCACAGTGTTCGGAATCACGGAACTGGAAGGCAGCTCAAACGGAAGGCAAATGTCCCTCTAGTTCGCAGAAGCGACATGTCCGGAAGAGTATGATCGATTCGATGGCATTCCCAAGCACCATAGACCGAGCATCGCATCATGCATGTTTTCATTCAGACGAGTTGAAAAGAGGATCCTCCAGTGACCATTTTGTCATTTCCGAGCGGTGTTGCGTGGCTCGCGTGCCAGGCACTTGCGGCGCGTGGCTCGGTTCCTGGGGCTGGAGGCCGGAAGCGGAAGCTGGCGGAAGCCGGCGGATGTGCTTTGGTTCGGGACTGAATCCATTTTTGGGAAAGAGATGAGGTCAGAACTGAGGTGAGTTTGCTAGATTCAAATATTTTTCTGACACAAGATTTGTCTTGTCGTTGTGTTTTGCTTGCTGGTACTCTAGGATGTGTACAAGTGACGCGATGTTTTCTGATGATTGGAAGAGGTGATCATGAAAGAGTGCTTCGCTATTCCTTGTGTTCTCTCCCATAGAACAAGAGCGGCATTATACATACCAGGACCTTCCAAGAGGTGTCTATAAATAGCCTCTTAGAGGTTAAGAGGTGTCCAAAAACCACCGGACTTGGAAGGTCCTGGTATACACTGCAGTTTCGGCCGATCACTCTTGGCTCCGTCCCGGATGTTTGACTATGTCCGTCTTCGAGGAAGGCTCGCATGTCCGGGAGCTCCTTCAGCGAGGCTCCTTCAGCGTTGGCCTCAAGGTTGATGTTGCTGTGGAACCACGATCCGAAACTGCTGTTCGAGTCTCGGCTCTCGGTTCGTGATGAGTCGTACGTCGTACGCAATATCAATTCCTGTAGTAAATCGGTAAAACCATCAGTCAATCTATGAATTACGAAACATTAATTTAATTTGGACTCCTTTGATTTGGATTCGGATGAATGATGAATGAACAAGTCAAGTCGAGTCAAGAGTTTAGAGTCCCTGGGCCATGTTGCTCTTGAGTAAGATGAAGGTCAAGGGGTATCCGTGGGAGACCTTAAGCCCTAGGGTCCCAGCAAGAAGCTACGATCGTTCACTACGTAAGTCATAGCAAGGACGCTGCGAACGTAGCTCCTGGCATTACTACTATAGTACCAGGACCCTCCAAGAGGTGTCTATAAATATAGCCTCTTAGAGGTTCAGAGGTGTCCAAAAAACCACCTGTTGGAGGGTGCTGGTATAGGACAATTTCTTTGTTCCCACAAATGTCCATTCGGACATGGGTTCTCAACATCGATTTGGCTGAGGTGTGCTTGGGAGGATGATGGAGCGTATGCATCACTGAAGAGTGGAGTCTAGTCCTCTTTTCTCAGTCGAAATCTAGGGGGTTGGCATCCAGTCCATTCAGTCTTAGGAATGGACACGACTACCCTGGGCCTTCGAGTTTCGAACCACGTTTCTCGTTCGCTACCATGCGCCGGGTCAAACTCCGTGCGGAACTCATCGCGCGGAACTCCGCGCTGTTCGGTGGAGGTCGATGGGCTGAGCACTTGTGTCGCCGTTTCACTGCCGGGCGACACAAGGGTGATGAAGATGGATACTTGAGGTGTAGGCAAGCTGATTCCCTGTTCAAGAAGGGCACCAAATGATCAGCTTCCGATGGAGAAGCGGCCTCCAAACTATTTCCACCTGTTGTCTGTGCGTGTTTGGTTCCATAGAAGAGTACTATCCACCAGTCACTGTCAGTGGCGCATCGGCTTCGCAATCGGCAGAGCCCGCAGGGCAAGGAACCTGACCGGATGGTGAACGATGTTTCACGGGTTCTCGGTTCTCGTTTTCGTTGACCAACGAGAAACGGCTCTATCCATCACCGTCCAACGGCTCGATCTGCCATCGAAACGTGTCCTCCGTGCCGCGGCCCTTCGGCTGCGGTGCCGCTGTTTTTTGGAACTCCTCGCGCGTGCAAGCGCGTGTCGCTTTCGGTGGGGCGAGGCTGCTCCTTGGCGCAGGGCCATGAAAAGTACGCAAGCATGACGAATGAAGGGTAGGCAGTCTCACACTTCACTCATCACGAGGTTTTTTTTTTTGGGATGAGGAACTTGGAATTTCTACTGTAGGGCTCCGAAGCGCCCATCTCCTCAGAAGAAGGCGGTTGTCTAACAAGCATCTTTGTTTCATGGAGGGGGCGGCCAGGAGTCCAAACAGGTTAGATTCTTGACCCTTTCACACTTGCACCGTGGAGCCCTTCTCCCTCAGCCGCTTAGAATGGGGCGCAGCTGTGCCGACACAAATTCTGGGCGCCTCATGGAGCTGTGCCAGAGCACGGAGGACCCTGCCCCCCAAACAGTGAAGTGTCAAAAACCTCCACTTGGTCGGTGGAAAAGAGTTTTTCCAGGCCGTTCCATCCATTGTAAGTCTTGAAGAATCATGAAACGTGCAGTAAGTGCAGCTGCAGCTTCAGGCTGACATGATTTTTTTTGGAAACCAGCTCGGCTGACAGCTCCGGGGCCGCCCTGTCGCAGCGGACGCTCCAAATCCATCTTCCCTGCCATGCGACGCTGTGCGAGCCGGACGCGACGCTTCGAGTTCAGCGCGCAGCAATGAGTGTGTATTCAATTAGGGAGACCTCCCCAAGGAGCCCCTGGAATAAGGGAACTAATATAGATCCAAAAACCGAATCAATGAAGATTCTAGCGACCTGACTGGGTACTGTAGGGTGCTCTCCGTGGAACTAACATGGAAGTGGATGGCATGGCCGCTTGGAAGACATGTATCGACGGAAACGCGCATCGTCCCAAACAACCCGCGTCGCGAGCCTCGGCACGCCGCCCACCACGCTCGCCTTAGCTTAGTGTTTTGGATTGTTTTGGCCGTGGGGAGCGGGTTCAGAAGGACATGATTTGGCAGTAATGTAGACTTTGTGGATGCCCCATTACCTGTAACAGTCGTCAAAAAGGTATCACTATTTTGGAGAAACCACCTATTTTATATATAATTAACCATCATCATCCACTGTTACAGGGAATGGGATATACCGTACATATACCCAACCTCTTCATATGAGGGGTTTGACAAATCAACAGTCTACATTAAGTCAGGATATTCTGAAATAGTTGGTGACCAATCTTTATTGTAAGCACTGCACGTAGCTCAATGAGTTTTTTTTTTGCAGATGTCGTTGTTTTGTTTGGCATTTGCGTGTGATCAGAATGCATCAGAATGCAGGATATCGGAAACCTGGCACTTGCTGATTGGCTCCTTCTTCGTTGTGATGCCCTGAAATGCCTCCTTGTCATTCACCAGCATGTTCTTCCGGTTCACTTGGGCCGTCTCAGACAGCTGAGCCAAGACAGCTCGTTCCCCGTGAAAACGCGGATTCGCCGCTCCCCATGGCCGGTCACCCACCGGAATTTTTGGGCGTCGAAAAGCGTGACCGGACGGACTGGGAGGACGGAGGAAGGACCGAGAGACCGAACTGGAGACGGTCGTACCGGTCCAGCGAAATGAGAAGGTCCTTTCAAGTCCTTTCATCCATTTCATCCCCAATTCCAGCCCCTCCTCCAGCCCTATTCGGTCCCGTTGAAGAAGCCGGACTTGGCTCCGGTTTTCATCACCCTCCGGTGTTCGACGTCGCCTTCCGCCTGCCTTCACCTCCGGAAGCTCCCGTTCCTTCGCCGCATCTTCCTTCGCCGTTTTCGCGAATCCGGAAGCGTGGGAAAGCGTGGGTAAGCCTTTCTGAAGACATGGAAGGCGAGTCAGGGCCGTCAGGGGAGGGCAGTCGAGGGCGCTTCCTGGGTGGAATTGGTGGTGAATTGGCAGGTGGATTTAGTGGATGTGTCCGGTCAATTCTCCTTTGGGGCCGAACAAGCGAATCCAGTCCGCCTTTGGATCACCGTCGACCACGCAGAGTGTCTCAGAGACGCGCCGCTACTCTCAGAGGGCATTAGTAGCTTCTTGTTCGTAGCTACTTGCTCCTACTAGTACGGCCAGGAGCCCCGTTCGTAGCGTCCGATCGCTCCGAACGTAAGCGATGCCGTTCCGTTCATAGCTTCGGCCCTTTACTCGTGGATTCATGGGATCCAAGACTCGGCATGGGTCCGTTTTTTCTTTTTGGCCATCTACCTGGCAAGCCTTCGGGTGTGGGGTAGACTCTGCATCTCCTCGTTTTGGTCGCCAAAAGAGACGCCGTGGGAGTCCATGCGGCTCGTGGACTCGTCCGGTTTGGGGGGTCCTGGCGGCCTCGCATCTGGCCCTGCAAGGGATGTTTGGTCCAGGAATGCGGTTCAGCTCGTAATCCACCGAAATGGGGAACATTCAGTATGCCCGTGCTTTCCAAGATGGACATGGTCATGTGCCCAACGCTGTATGTCAGGACATGCCCAAGCTGTTTCTATACAAGTATGACATGCTATGAACATTCTCGTGTAAAAACATGGTGAAAATGGCAGGTCGGTCCCTCACAGGTCGGTCGACCTTCCCGGACCTTCCCGACCTGTTCGGGGGTTCGCGAGGAACTCGCGACTGCGAGTTCGGGTCACGCCGAGTTCTGCCCATCTCAGGTTCGGTCTTCGACCCCGCTGGCCCCCCCTGGCCCGGACCGGGCCAATCCAAATCGTTTCTGCAGGCTTTGCCCTCTCGCCGGCGGCCTGGACGCGGCTGGGGGAGGTGGGGCGGGTGGTTGGACGGCGAGGGAAGACGCCTCGAAGTGATATGGTCTTCATGGACCAAGGAGGGCCACTGCAGATTCTTTTCGTGGCTTAAGTTAAGAGACTCTATGGAGTAGACTGGACTTCTTGACACCCGCGCTCCGGATGAAGAGATCTGACGAGACTTTTGCATCGTCATGTACGTTGTTTATTAGCAAAGAGTCTATACCAGCAGTCACAAAGGAATGGTTTTTAGTCCCATCCAGTGAGTGGAGTAGCTGGGCACCCCTACCCTTCAAGTTCGGCACCCCTTTGTGACTGCTGGTACATTATTACAATAAGAGTCTTTTGTTGCTTTTAATTTTAATGGTCAACCATGGTCGCCACCGCCGGACCATGCATCGCTCCCATCGGGTGCGTTGAAGCGAAGAACCACACACCGGTGGAGCGAGGGAGACGTGAAGCCTCTTGGTTAGGTCATCCATGACACCTGCGAAGGGTAGAAGGGTAGAAGGGCAGTCGGTGTCTTTAGTTAGTTTACATATGTTTACATGATCTTCTTTCTTGGTGGTGACCTGTGACGTGCGCTTTCACCAACTGTACCTGTCGATTTGTTCTCAGGCAAGAGGGACTTTTCACGGAGACCGATACCATCCGACACCTGAATATAGGTACTGGAGCCCGAAACGAGCGCTGTCACCAATTCATTCTTGAAACAAATCATCTCAACAATCGTATCGAGAAAGACTCTGTTGCCCGCATTTTTTTTTGCAGTTTCAGTTACCCTCCAGGTAGACAGTTCTTAGCTCAGAGAACTTTGCTTCTGTGTCCGTCCGCTCAGCCGTTTTGGCACCTGCGCCATGCTCTCTCCGCCTACCGGGCCGCTGTTCCTCTCTCCGCCCACGACCGCGCCGCCCTCCGCGTGGCTCTCCGCGCCGTGGGATGCCTCGCGCCGCAGCTGGGGGCGCCGGGAACGCCCCTGGGCCTTGATGATGGTGACTGGGTCCATCAGAGGCCTCGTGTGCTTTCGGAGAAGCACGAAGGCGACGCTGAGATGCAGATGGTTTGTTGGCTTGATTGAATCCGGTCAATAGAGAGACCGGTGATCAGTATGAGGACTTCACAGCAGCATTAAAGGGCAAATAGGTAGGATATGGTGGGGTATGTTAAGTTTGGAGTGCCACAGAGAAAGTGGTAGCGTGGTGGTCAGCCGGGCTGCTTGTTGTTTTTGTCATTTACCAGATCGACTTGTTTTGCTTCCCTGAATGACAATGCCAAACACCTCTCCAACCACCAATTTTGGTAGCTGCAGTGCCAGTCTGCGCAAGTCTTCTATTTTTGTGGAAGTACTTAAAATATGGGCCGTCCCCCAAGTTTTAACCTTAAAACCATTTCACCGTTGGGTGAACCAATCCATGTCGTAGACGTCGTGAGCTGACGGACCGTGGTTTCGGCCTGAGGAGGAAATTGAAGGACATGCAGATGACAGAGCTGGAGCAGATAGAGAAGACGCCCAAGAAAGTGCCCGCGAGACAGAAGAGCAAGAAGAAAGAGATTCCAAAGGCTTCAGAGTCAGATGTAGAACTTGAACTGACCAGTTTGGAGGCGGAGGATCTTCAGATCAAAAAGCCGACTTCCAAGTCTGGCAAGAGCAAGAAGGAGCTACAGATGTCGCCCGAGGAGTCGGTGCTTGAGAAGGATGAGACGAAGCTGCGGTCACAGAGTGGACCGGGGCAGGACAAAGCGGTGAGGGCAGTGGACACTGAGGAGTTTCAGGCCGACCGAGCTGAGGCGGAAACCAAGAAGTGCCAAACAGTGGTGGCCGCTCCAGTCACTGCCGCTGAGGAAGAGATGGAAGTGAGCCACACACGAGGGAGAACCTGGGACGCGGCAAGCGGTGTTCGGATGATGGACTTTTGGGGTTCCCGAACAGGGTCAATCCCCCCCCAACCTGGCCGCTTGTTTCGGTCTCTTTTTCTTCTGGCGTCACGCATCACCTTCGACACCCTCAGGAACGGCGAAGGCTTCACCCAAAAGCAGGTCGAGTCAGGTTCCTCCGTTGCAGGTCACGGTAGACTCGTTTTTGTCGGACTCGACGTGGACTGAAGCGTCTGCCCGAAGGGTTCTCGACTGGTTCGTCCTTGCGGGATGGGTGATAGGGCCTGACGTTGAAGGAGACATGGCACTCCGGCCGGAGATGTTTGTGTTGGGTAGTCTTGGTTTGTAGGCGATCCAATGGTTCCAGTTCCCTGAAAATGAGACCGGGAAGTGGAAGACACAGTGGGCTGTGGGCAGGCATCATGCATGGCCCATGGCCACTTGAATCTTTCAAGACTTGGAAGACTCTGTTGACGAACCGAGGGCTTCCACCAAACCGTGTGGCTGTTGGAGGACCAGGAGAGCTCTCCGCCTGTATGATCACCTTCTTTTCTTTCAGTTTTGTCAGGCTTCGCTCCTACATCCTCCCCTCTCAAATGGCAAGACCCTATACACAGTAGACTTCTTCTACAGGAACATCTACAAAAAATAGATTGTCGGTCCCCAAACAGAGCTTTTTCCATGCTTTTCCTGGTTTTGATGCCCAATGTTTGGAGGATGGTTGAACTAAGCACTTGGACTTGTTCATGCATGATCGTTTTTCATCTTTTTTCCAGCGGGCTTGTGAATGATACCATTACGACCCTGGTACTCGCCTAAACCCTATGGTGCAAGGAAGAAGGGCTGGCCCCCCGTTCTTTGCTTGAGCACTCGTAACAGTGAAAAATTCTGATTGTGGAGGCCCCCCCCAAAAGGGTGCGTGGTGCATTGTGATGCACGAATGCACATGACGATGTTCGGGTTGGTTTGGAAGTACTTGTAGAACTGCCACGGTGGAGGAGAATGGGTTTCCGATGCTGATGTATGGTCAACTTATAAGTATATATATATATATGTGTTTTTAGTTTCCGTTTTTGGGAGAACTGAGAACTTAAGGGGTTTGGTCAATAGAAGTTTGGTTTGGACTCTTCTTGGCAGTTACTGTAAAAAGAGGCGGTCATTCATGAGTCTTTCTTTCTGCAGAGTGTCTAGGAGAGATGTTCTTTTTCTCGAAGTCGCCGACATGGGAAGACTTCAGGTCGGGTGTAGATTGACTCTCACGATATCCCAAGATAGAACTAAAGTAACTAAGGTGGACATGCAAGATGGCCAAATCTCCAAGATCTGGGAAAGCATCCAGAAGAAGTACGGCCTCTTGCCGGCCCAACAGTGGACGTTGCGTGAATGCTGTCCAGTGGACTGGACATTGGAGTGGAAGAAGTTGTTGCTGGAGTCATTGGAGTATTATTGAGGAATCCACACTTGTGAAAAACCACACGGTATCAGAAAAGACATCCACAGCTCGAGACTCATTCCCACAGCTCGAGATTCATTTATTTTTAAAGATCCAAGCTGGATAGCTGGCACACAAGATCCAAGCTGGCTAGCTGTCTGTTGTCGACCTTCTTATCCTTCTTGTTTTGAAGACTGAGATGGCACAGTCTGTCTTCCAATATACTGTATTTGGTGTGTGTGAGTGTCAGTGGCAGTCTTGAACCGTTACAAATTGTGCCAAGCATCCTGATAATTAGGAGGGATCTGTTTGGGGCCATACTGTCAGCTTGGTGTGTTTCTTTCTGAACTCCTGACACACCTGGATGTTGATGCCCTCCACGCAACTTGCCAGGCATCGAAGTGGAGGAGGAGCCCATGCCCACGCCGTGCGCCACGTTCTCCACAGGGAGCTTGCCTTTGGATCTGGCACTCGGCGTAGGCAGTTGGATGTTCTTTTTTGGGGGGCGAGCGGGTCGTTGTGTTTGGGAAGAGTGCGTGAAGGAATCGGGTTCTTCGGATTCGGCCCGTGGATGCAAGTAGTAATTACCCTCAGTAGTACCCGTGGAGGGGCTGCTTCAGTAGTACCGAGACGTGGAAGGATCGCAAGTGAGCTGGACTGGTGCTCCTTTTTTTTTGTAGGTGCGGTGTCCCTATTTGAACAACTCCAAGACTCAGATCTGCGAGTTGGACAAAAAGAAGCGATGAATCGGTGTCCGAACACCATCGAGTGATAAGTCACCGTGTGATGAAAGCCGTCGGCGTCGGGAAGCCATGAGGAGACGCGACCGATGGGACTGGCGTGGTGCCAGGTGGGTCAATGGGGTGGCAGTCCTATGGCAGTCCCACCGGTCGCGTCTGGGTTTTGGGTTTTCTACACCATCCAGGATGAATCTGTTCTCCCCAAATGATCAATTCATCTTGACCAATTCACCAGGGAGGCTGTGCTGGCTGTGGACGTTTTTATTGGGACCTGGGGGTCTTGGCACTTAAACTCTCTAGCAAGAAGCTACTAGTAACAAAGGGCATCGCTATTAGGAGCAAGAACGCTACTAGTAGCTCCTGACATTTCTACTAGTAGCATTCAGATTCTATTAACTCACGAAGATATATAACAAAATCAAGAAGCTGTGGTGTTGAATTCATCGGCCACCGGGATGCGGGCAACCTGTATGTTCCGAACCCTCGCTTTGGGAATGCGGCCGAACCCGGTGCGCCGGACGTGGACCGGCAGGGGGGTTTTGGACCGAAGAAACCCATGTCCAGCTGTTGTGTCTCGGGTTGAAGTCGGGTGCGCTGAAGAGGTTTAGCTGGGGAAGACCGGGAAGACCCAGTTGATCCGAGACATGGAGTACCACCCTTCGTCGGCTCCAAGGAAGCTGTTCATATAGCAGGCAAAGACAGCGAGTTCACGTCTTTCGCGTTCGATGACATCACAGATCTAGCAAGTATACAGCCTTTTTCATTTGATGTTCTCTCTCTCTCTCTCTCCTCTTTCTGACAACAGCTCCATTGTCCATGCCGTTGCATCGGCTCCCGTCTTCGCACCTCTTCGCCGGTACCGGCACCGCCGTCCTCTTCGTCACCGGCCACCACGCCGCCGGTGGCACCGCACCGGTGGTGACGTTGAGGATCACCGAGCCCTATCGTTGGGTTTACGCTGAAAGGTGCTTAGGGTGGTTGAATGGGGGTCATGAACATCAACATGTGAGGCAGGACACAGACTGGACACACCAGATTCCGCTAAGAACGCCGGTCCCGGTCCCTCCGCCGAAGAGGACCGTCTTCCCCATTCGAACACCAATGCCGGTCCGTCCCCTTCGTTGCGAGGCGGTCTGCCCTACGGCCGGATCCTCGAGGTTTATGGCCCTGAAACCAGTGGGAAGACCGCCCTGGCGACCCGACACCGACGGACGTCCGGTTTATGGCGCTGTGCGAAATCGCAAGCGAGCTCGCACCGGTGGTGTGGTGGTGGGGAGGTTTGGGTGCGCCACGGGTGTCAGAGAGACATCGTTGCATGACATCTTCAAGTGCCCTGTGGATCTACAGACCCTCCTGATTTCAGTGCGAAATAGGCGGTTTATTGGTGCCAGGAGGTGGCACCCAGCCCTGAACCTGAGACTATATATATAGATATACATATAATTAAGGTGGCAGTGGAAGCCTCTAGTGGTGGGAGGTCTTGTCACGTCCTTCCTAAAAATTTTCCATTAAGCTGGCACCCCCAGTTCGCAGCTCATTCCGAGCCGATGTTCGAGCTGGCTCAGAACGGACTTGGCCGATGGTCATGTGGACCATGGGTGGACGAGAGTTGATGGTTGATGAAGAGAGCCACAGTATACGGCGGGAGTCCATGAGTGAGTGCGCCTGAGTGCGCCAGTTCTTTTCGGGGCCAGAGGGGAATCCATGTGGAATAGTTCTACCCAAACACGCCATCGCAAGTAGGTTGGAGGCCATCGCAAGTAGCTTGGAAGCCATCCACCATGGCTTAGGTGGTCTGCGCGCCCCATGTAAAACACGTCCGGTGCTTCAGAACGAACCTCCCCTCCTCTTCTCTTCTTTCTCATGCTCGGCCGCAACGCCTTTCTTCGTTCGCCGGCCAACGCGGCCTCGCTTTGTTTCGGCGACCTCTGCTCCATGCGTGGAAGCAATGAAAAAACTTAAGCCTGCCCGGCATCTGAGGGCAACCCTAAACTCTAAAAGAGTTGTGTTTGGGTGGCCTTGGGGTGGGTGTTGTCCGCAACGTGGATGGCGCAAGTATAGGTTGGAGGCCATCGCTACTAGGTTGGAGGCCATCGCAAGTAGGTTGGAGGCCATCGCAACTAGGGTGGAGGCCATCGCAAGTAGGTTGGAGGCCATCGCTACTAGGGTGGAGGCCATCGCAACTAGTGGGTTTTGTCCGGGCACAGGGGAGGAGCAAAATGATGGGAAATTCCTACCATGTAGAAGCAGAAGCAGTTTTAATTCGAGGATTCAGAACCATGACTTTCATGGATTATGAAGGGTCTTACCGAACGACCATATGGTCTTTATTACATGGTTTACTCGTCTGGATTTTTGACAACAACACTAGGTCCACCGTTCTTTGACTGGTCAAATTGAAGAGATGCCGGACATTTTTCAGAAACTTTACAGCAACTCGCGAAGAAAGAAACACACACTGAAGTGAGCCCCATGCCAAGACAAAACACCCGAACTGCCCGGTTTCTGCAATGACACCAGCTGTTCTGTGAGAAAGACCCGCTGTTTCAATACGGTACCTGAGACTGAAGACTCAATGCGTAGCTCGAGCTCCAGGTATAAAGCTTTGAGTAGACGTGGTCTTCAAATAGAAGACAATGGCACGGTTTCCAAGACATTTTCTACGTGGGAATGAACGAACTTCTATCTATTTGGGGGTCTATACAGGGGATAGTAGGGGAGTTTATACAGGGGATAGTAGGGGAGTTTTCCAAACAACTGGTTCATGACTTTTTCAGCTTCTAAAATTTACTGGTTCGGTTCAATTGACCCCCCTGGCACCACCCCAATTGATCGGCAGTCCTATGGCAGTCCCACGCCTTTCGAAGAAGTCCACACGTTCCACCAAAAGGCTTGGACGTGAGCCACCAGGCCCTCAGCTGCTGCATCTCCTTGCAACGCTCTGGCCGCCGGAAGAACTGTGCCTTCATCGATGTGGAGCATGCCTTCGACTCCACGTTTGCCAAGAAGATGGGCGTCTGGGCTCAGTCATACTGTCAGGAGTACGTATACTGGTAGGATGTTCCATCTGGCCCAAACCCTGAGAATTGGAGCTTCTGTTCGCTTCCGTTTTGATGAGTTCTTGGCCTTCTGGGTCTTTCTTGCTCCAGACGGCACACGGTCGTCCGTCCCCTCGTCGTTTGGCCCGAGGTTCGGCCACAGAAAGGCACACCGTCGTCATGTCTTGACAACCCTTTGAGAACCATGTGGATGTCATAAGTTATGACATGTTTCCCCAACAAGTGACCCCCTTTTCAATCGGCACCTCCTCTTGAAAGGTGAAGGCCAACGCATGATAGCTGAAGGCCCCGCAGGCCACCTGCCACGTTTCTCTGCATTTTGATGGGAGTTGACTTGGGGAGTTGACTCAGGCTGCTCCGATCACATCTGACATGATGATCACCATCTCATCACACAGGACATGAATGGATTTACTGATTGATCTCCTCAGCGAGAACGACCACATCGGAAGATCGACTCAGAACAAGAACTCCTCCCCACAGGAATCGACATTCACCATGAAACGAAGCAACCTGGTTTTCTTTCTGACACCAAGGCTTACAGTTTCAGAAGCAGCATTTCTCTTACTGCAAGCCTCCAAGTGCGGAGATTGCACTTGACATGGCCGGAGATTTGGCTGAAAGCAACGCGTTTGACCTCATTGTCATTGAGCCTTGTCAGCATCTTTTGTTTTCGTGAAGCCACGATATTGGGATATCGGCTGATGGTCATCGTCATTTTGGAACCTCTTCATCAAACAGGTCCTTGTCCACGGACCGGTAGGGTTCGGGTACCCTCCGGAGCCTAGCCCCATCGGAATGGTTTGTCAGCCAAGGCTCTGGTGATCTCAGGTGTTGGTTTTTCAATTTGCTTGTTGGCGCATACCCTCCCTCCAACAAATTGTGGAAGCTGACCAGGACCCCCTTGTTTGGAGGAAAATGGTCTTCGGCCTGTGTTCCACTTCCATGTTAGTTCCAGGGAGTGTACTGTCTGTGTCATCCAGGAGTTGCATCAAATCGAATTCAAGCGCACCTACATGGCACCTACTTGTGGATCGAAATAAGCTGGAGGCGCACGATGCCTTCCTGTGTTCAATCTGTTGCACCAAGCGGAGCACATCGGTGGAGGCCGAACCTTCGGGTCCGGAAGCGCCGGAAACGCTGCTTCCGCCGCGCCAAGCGGCGCGCCACAGGATCACAAGGGCCCTGGGTTGGCAAGGTTGCTGCTGCAGCAAGTTGCTTCCTAACACTGAGACTGTCCCCGAAAGCCCCGCAGGGCCCCGCAGCCGAGCAAGGCTGCTTTTGGGAAGACCTTGCGAGCGCACTCTCGTTGGTGTGCTCGATCCAGACTGGTGTACGCGAAAGCCTGCCAAAATAGGTCCAAATAAGCAGCCGGGGTAGCAACAACTCCAAGTTCCAGGTTAGAACATGCAAAGCATGGGCCAGTTTTTTGGCCAGTTCGATGGTCTTTTCCGCAGCTGTCCACCCATGTCCAGTGAAGTGCCAAACTCTTTCAGAAAGAGTACGACAGTGAAGGTATTGAAACGCGTTGAAGGTCGACCATTACCGACCTGTGCATGCCACAGGGGCCCGCTTTGCACACACACACACAGTCGTTGTGGTGTAAGGGTAGCAGCAGCCTGGGTTGATTGCGTTTAACATGTGCGTTGTGCTGGCACAAGCCTGTCAGCTTCTTGCACAACCCAAGTTGCAGAAAAAGCCGTGTGGCGCGGGCACGTATGCGCTTAGAACGTCTGGTTCTTCATCTGCGGTCCATCCGCCTGTCACGACGACTTCGACCAGGCAGACCCGCAGCGTGATGCAAACTGAGCTGCGAAATCTCTCGAAGGCCTAGACCACCATTCCTGGCCACTGGCCTATACACCTGGGGTCGGGGTTCCTGCTGACTGCATGCTTTTCAAGATTCCTGGCTGATCTACATGATCAGCCGATAGCGAAAAGTGTCTGCAGGAATGATGGCATCATACCTCAGAGTTTAATTCAAAAAAATCGTGATGTAACAAAATCTGCCATAATCATCCATAATCTATGAACATATCAAACATTATGGCCATTTCCTGCCCAAAGAGTATACCGCATCACTGAGCCGTCCCAAGATGAAGTCTTCCTACAAAACATGGAGTGTTTTGTTCACGTTTGACGGTCCGCGCGAAACGACCTAAATTCTACATGTGCAGTCGACGAGCTGCAGGTGATCGAAATCTCATTGACTCCATCCTGTGTACTGAGAGGTCCAACATGGTCAAACCAAGTCATCAAAGACCTGTGCACTCGGTACAGCTAAAATGGGGGACAGCTACGGTACAGCCAGTGACCGTCGATGTCAAGTGAATTTTGGGACTGCGTCAAGCTTCTTGAGGGCAGAGTGTGTCATACCAAGGTCAAAAAGCATAATTGGACCTTGGGCGGGAGGTTTTCCTGCCGCAAGGTAGCAGTGGCGTGCTGCAAGCTGGCGAGGGACAAAAACATTTATATGATCCTTGAGCAACAGTGCGAAGAAGCAAAGCGGCTCAGCATCAAAACAACATACAGTGAACACATCTTCCCACAGAATAGTAGACAGCACGAGCTTGCTTCCAAGTGCTGCATCATGAGCGCAAGTCATTAGATATAAAAACCTCACGCACTTTACGCACTTTTGTTCCAGTCATTCGATGATCCCAGTGGACAAGCTCAGACCACTGTCCTTCGACCGGTGAAGGACCGCAGGTCGAGACAACGCGCGGTGGATCCGGTCCGAGTGGATCTGGTGGTTGTGCCGTGATCCATCAGCTGGGACGGCTGGGCAGTCACTTTATCTCATGACTGTGGTTTTTTATTTTGACTAGCCAAGCTCACCAACAACTTCAACAGCAAACACACAATTGTCATACACGAAAACAATTGATCGCAAAAATCTATTTGGACATGTCTTTTGCCACTCTTTGAGGCATATTTTGTTTAGCTTGCTCTTGCGCATCTGCACGCTGTCCACCGTAGCTGAAAACGGGTTTCGAGCCAAGACCACTTGAGCAGCGTCAAAAGCCTCCCACGAACAGTTTAAGCAAACTTGTAAACTCCAACTTGCCCGTGGAAGCCAAAACTGCAGTTGTGGAAGCTTGCGAAAGCCACCGCGTAAGTATATGGTAAAAATTCACCATCGCTGAAGCTTTGCGGAAGTGCACATGTTATCTTCTTGAATCTTCTTGACAATAACAAATGTCTCTATACTTTAAGGAGATTTGTCTAACCTATCAGCTCTTTTGAGAAATACGTCGCGGAAGCGCCGCAGAAGAGGATTTCAACCAAACATGGCCCGCGGAAGCCAAAGCGCAGGTCGCGGAAGCTCCGCGCAAGCATTGGTGGAAGCAAGTCATGAGATCGTAGACCGGCTTTTGACACCGCTCACTTGGGATCGCTTTGGCTGACTGAAGTGGATGATGGCCTTAAATCTAAAAAGGTCTTTGCAATAATATATATATATATAATAACCCAAGCCCAGGGTGCAAAGGGATGAATTGTTAATTGTTTAGCATACTTCACCTACCAATCAAGGAACATATTTTAGTCCAAAAGGGTCGAGAAGGGCCTTTTTCGCTTCGCGGCAGCGCGGAAGCCTTCTTCGCATGGCTTCCGGGAGAGCTGGAAGTCGTCGAATTCTCCATCCGTTGCAGAAGACATTCTCGCAACACACATAACAACAACAGACCCTAAAACGTAGAACATATTTTTATTTACGGTGGGGCCTAAGCCTTAAATGGTGAGTCCTTGCGCTGGAGTGCCATCACATGGACGGCACTCAGGTCAGGGGCCCTATTAATATGACCTTCAATGTAAGAAAGTAGTCTTCGTCAAAAGTGGTACAGGGAAATATGTGAGTATTTTTTTACACGACCTCACCTGAGGATAGTGTGGCGGCTTTGCTGACGGAAGAGGAGAGGCAGAAGGACATGACGCAACACTGCAGCTTGGAATGTCGAGTCTCCAAAACCACCGGGAAAAACCATGAACTATTTGCATTCTTTTACATGTAAAAAACTGATCCCTCCCTCCCACCTCAGTTCATAAAATGCATTGTTGATGACAGCCATTGGATGCTCAAATGGACCAATATGGATTCTTGGGGAATTGGACGACGATCAAACGCCTCGAGAATCGGGGACCCGAAAAGCCGGTGAAGCTTTGCTTCGGGTCCATTTCTGCCATGGGTCCCAAACCCTCCAGAAGTGGTCGGGTCCAAATAAACTCTTAGAGCGGATACTATACGTACTACCCAAAGAATCCTTGGGATCTCCATGGCAGGGGTCGGACCCTCCATAGCAGGGGCCTGGACCCTCAAAACCTTATGTGTTTGAGGGCCCGGATTCTTAGGGTAAACCCTCAACAAAACCACATCCAAATCACCTCGACTCCCGATCTCGCGGGCGCGGGTGCGACGTCGGAAAGGAGACGTTGGAATCGGTCGTCCGGTCCTTCTAGAAGTCCTTTTGAGGTCGAAACGAATGGAGTGTGAATCGGGCAACATGGAAGGTGACACTACAAGGTGACAGCCCAAAAACACCAAAACAAGTCCACCAAAAGGCGGAGAAAAGGAGGAAAGAAGATGACGTGTTTGCTTCGGAGGGTCTGAGAGTCTGTCAACGCTGTGGATGGAGGCGCTACCACGTTTCGACCCAACTGCTGAGTTGGGCGAAAGCACCTTTCCAATCTCAGGGTGTTCGTGGTGGAAGATGGACGTGACCACAGGACCACGAAAACAAGTGCCGTAAGGGGACACATCACCAACATCAGCTTGAAAGACACAGCAAAAACTGTTTGTCGTGATCGTGCGCAGCTTCGGCCATCCAGAAATAGGATGAAGCAAGGACCAAGCACTTCTTCTCAAAGGGAAGACCTGACAGACTCTGATGACCTGAAGCCCGACACCCGAGAGCAAGTTCTCACAATACCGACTCAAGGATCATCGGTTTAAGGCACTTGCCTCGTTAGGAGCAAGGAGCGATCGGACGCTGCGAACGGGGCTCCTGGCCTTACTACTAGGAGCAAGGACGCTACTAGGGGATACTGGGGCTCCTGGCCTTACTAGATTGATTTGCACTGGCTTCATGAAGCTGCCTCAGTTGGATCAATCTGCGGCACCTGAGGCATGGCTGCCCGAGCCCAGTTATTAGGCCAATTCATGCGCCACTTGGCACTTCTTTCAGAGAAGGATCACTTCTTTCACCGCCCGCAAGGCGTTCAGAATCAGGCACCGGTCCGGAGGAACGGTCGGTCGATGCGGAGGGGCCTCGAAAAGGAAGCACACGTCGACGTCTTGCGAGTCTGGAGAGTCGGATTTTTTTCAGATGCCACCTAGAACTTGGATACCCTAATTATAGTGATCTACAACTTGGATACTGGTGTTAGACTGGAGTTGTTAGTCTGGAGTCAGATCACTAATTAGTCACACCGGTCAATCTGAGATTCACTTGGTGCAAGAGAGGGACTAAGGAAGCTCTTTTCCATGGCAGACAGATGCAGAAAGCAATTCAGGAACGGAGATTATCCTTCTTTTGGAAACAGAAGCGAAGTGTTCAGCTACGGCCGATCTTTACACCCTTCGATGGGACCTTCTTTGTTGAACTCCCATGAAGCGCCTGTAAAAGTTAAGTTCAACTTTTTCGCATTGAAATGTCATGTAAGTTGATCACGGTCACAGTTGAACGAATGTTGACGGTCTTTTCGTCCCGACCCGTCGTCGAACGGGAGAGCGAGGAAGGTTTGCCTCGGCACCGAGGCAAAGTGGTGCCGATCTGCGATGAAAACCAGACGTCTGTGCTTCCTGGGATCAAAGGATTGACCCTCACAACTCGGGTGAACTGGACCAAAAAAGGGGATGGAGCAGTATGGGTCCATAGGTAGACCCGGGTAGACACTTTGGGGTCCAAGGGTGGGATCTGATGTTTGAAGTTTAGAAATCGGACTTCGGATGTCTGTCTCCCATCCGGGTTTCAGCCGACTGAAAACAAGCATGAAGACAGTGACGCAGAGGGCGATGAGGTCGTGAGGCGAGTCGAAATGGCCATTTGGACTGGACAAATGTAGACTGTCGATGAATGAAAGCTCCCCTACCCAGACGCTCCATCAAACTGCCATATTTGCCTACATTGGGGTTTGGTTGAAAAGGGGTCAATGTACGCAGTCCCATGGAGTGTTAAGAGTCGGCAGCCTGGGCAGGCTGGCAGGATGGATTACCCGGGAATGGTTGAGGTCCTAGACCTGTTACGGCCCAACCACCCTCAATTCCTCACCGGTTACGACCCATTGCAGGATATTTTTAATGGTATAGGTTTGCGCTGCCTTGACCAGGTTGCCCTTTAAACCGCTTAAACTTTAAACCCCTCTTTAGACTCGTCTTGAATCCTAACTTGTGAACTGCCCACACACACACAAAAAAGCGTGGTGTGAGAGTATCGGGGACACACAGGAGATTGACTCCGTTTCTTGGATTTGCGCCACCACACTAGGCTGTGCATCAACCAGTTGCGGAAGAACTTCAGTGGTTACGGCCCGCCTGAAATCACCACCGGTGCCTTGGCCACTGCGGTGTAAACACCGGTAAATCACCACCGATCGCGTTTGGGATCGGTCTTTCTTCCCACCCAAATAGAGTTTAGAACCCACCTTGGGGGTTCTAAACTCACCTGCTTCCTGCGGAGTCTCGTTGGAGTCTCGACCTCAAAAACCAGACTCGTTTGAAGGTCACACTGGGCCTGGGGCACCGACACCAATACCATTTGACTCCAGGTCCGCCGGTCCACCGGTCCCGTCGTCCCCCAAAACGTCGACCGGGACCGCCACGACGACAGGACCGGGTCGGAGGGGGCGGCGGTTTTCACGGATGGTTTGGTTTTTACTGTTGTTTTTTTCACCAAACAGTGTGGTAACACGGGGTTCTGACGGGTCACACTGTAGAAGTTCATTTGTTTGTTAAATTTTTCGTTTTCTGGGTTTGGCAGAGGTGTCTTTTCCCCGGATTCCTGGATTGACATGGATTTTTGGCGCAGCTTTCCGAACAAGGGTCAGGTCATAAATTGGGACAAGGTGGACGTTCGAACGGTCAATGTATGATCATGTACAGTCCCATGGATGATCCGGGTATTCTCTGTAGAATCCTTCTGGATTTTCTTCCTTCAGCATGTTTTCATCCGTCACCCACCTCTATGCCTTCGCCGCTTTGGCCCCAGGCGGGGAGGCACTGAAGTACGCGGCCAGCGTCCGCCTGGAGGTCCGCAGCCCGGCGAGCGGGAAGATCAGCAAATCTGGCGAGGTCGTCGGCATCCGGCAGAAGGCGAGCACGGCCACGGCGGGGATGGAGAGGATCGTGGCGCTTGCAGGTTGGGTTGATGTGGTTTCTGGGATTCGGGTACGTCGACATCGGGACGTCGACATGAGTCCTGCTGCAAAAACACTTCAACAAAATGGGAACTCTGGCATACAAGTGTGAAGATTTTTAATGGTTCCCTTAAAATCAACTGAGATGGGCTTTTATTCTTGGGTGGGGCCCGGGGTCTTTTTGAGGGTTTGCTTCGTCAACGGCCGTGAACATGTTTGCTACTCCCTTCTACTACCTGCTACTACTTACTACTTTCCATACTTATATACATGTACATACTATATACAGTACTGACTACTTGCTTCATCCCTGTGTTCCAACAAAGAGACATCCCTTTAGAGATCGATCGATCTGAGCGCTGAGCAACGCACAATTTTTTGAACACATCTCTGGTGTTGCTTGGGCGGGTCCAGACTAGTCATAGGCCAGACTAGCGTCACTGCGAAGATGATTGTTTGATGCATCCGACTGACATCTCACCCGCGACATCTCCTCCATCTCCTCACCCGGTCGTCCTTTGAACGCTCCGGAGCACTTTCTTGTCACCTGAGCGTTTTGGACGTGTTGCGCCATGGCGCACCTGGTGCTTCCACTCGGCCTCTCGAGTCGGCCGGGTCCGCCGTGTGCAACAGCGGTGGGTCCAGGTCACCGTGCGAAAGAACAAGTTGGCACCAGGCTTCCGCACAGCGGAGCACGACGCTGTTCCGCGTCGTCTCGCGCGGAATGTCTTCCCAGTGACCGGAGTGGGTGTTCCACGAGTGATCGGCGGTGCAGTGACTGCTTGGGCGTTCTGGCGTTCGGGCGTTCTGGGGAGAATCAGCAGCTAGCTGGTTGGGGGGGGTCGTGGTGTCGGAAGTGTGGATGCAGGAGGTGTTGGTGACCTGTTTTTGGGGTTTATATTGGTTTATATTGGTTTTGAGGCCAGGGTGGCTCCCGAAGTCTGGCTGGTGGGATACGTTCTCTTGATCAAAGCCTGGCAGTGGAATGCACCATAGCTTCCAAGGAGTGTGGTGTTTTGAACAAGACAGGAACACTTACTGTGAAAAGACAATACATAAGCTGACCCATCCTAAACCATCCTAAAGCCATCAAGACCGAACCGTCCAAACCAAGACTCTCCAGCTCTTCACTCAGCACTCCGAGCACTCGGCACTTGGCACTCCATCCATCCATCCAACCGCGGGCCGAAGGGGCCGAACTGCGGAGCCCCCCGAGGATTTGATGTTCGGCTCGAGCTCGGGGAGCTCGGGGATTGTCTGGGCCGGCTCGGTGCTGGAGGCGGAGCCGTGTGGAAGGGTCCAGGAAGGAGGTGCAGGTGGACATGGGGACGTGTAACGATGCAACGATGTTGTTAAAAGGAAAACACATCTTGGCGACTTTAGGCGAAGACTCCTATAATTATGACATTATGATTAATGTAGGCGAAGGATCCTATATATTATGATGGATGCATGTTTCTGAGGTTCCAGGAAGAGGTCTTTGGTGCATGCTCTTGTGTTCAACCTAGCTTTTGCCGAGGTCACTGAAACAGGTGTCTTTTCCTTAAAGGAGGTGTTTATGTTTCCCCATTTGGGAAGATCCATCAAGATGCTTTTCCATCCGAGAAAGTTTCCCAAAGGATGGTGTTCCCAATTGAGTTGTTTTGTTTTTTAGCAGCGGAAAACATGTTCCGTTTGGATCGCCGATATCCAACAACATCAACCGACAGAGGCGGGCTTGCTCTCTGGCCTAGTGGAGAAGAAGGGTGCCTGGCTTCAGCCGCTTGATGAGAAGAAAGTGATATTGCAGGTGGGCTTGGTATGAGATCCAAGGATAGATGACTTTGAACATCCAGCCGAGATGCAGAGATTCATTTGTTCGGTTTTCCATATGGATCGAAGCTACAGAATGTCCAACCTCAATCATCCCCAGACACCGAAGGCATTCCTTGGCATTCCATGGCATCTCCCAGGAAAGAGTTTGAAGTTCCAGTCCCCGCAGCTCCCCAGACTGGACCTTTTTGGGGGGGATCCCATCCAGCGAGTCGAGCTTCGGGGCGACATGGAACTAACAACGGGCAGTGTAGGTTCACTGTCTCACCAGCCCTGTAGGTTTACTTTTGGGGTTCGCAGCCGGGTTTGGGTGCGGGAAAAAAGACACATGCGCAGAAAACAATTGCACCATGTTTTTGGTACTCAAAAGCTTCTTCTATCCTTTGTAAAGCTTTTCGAGCAACTCCAAACTTGGAGTATGCCATAACTAGTATATAAACTGAGAGTCAATCAGAACTCAGGAACTCAGTCGCACTCATCGTGGTCTGGTTCGGTGCCTTTTCCGACGCCTTTCCGACCTCCGAAACCCAAACGTTGCCCGGAAGTCGAAAGTTCCGAAACCGTGCACGCGCAGGCCGCAGCCTAAACTTAGGAAAAACATATGAGGGTTTCCAGAAATGAGGGGAAACCTCAAAGGTTTCCATTTGAATGGGTTGTTTGATCAATAATCACCTGTTTTGGGGTAGGTACCCCATTTGAGGTGGAAGTCTCCAGGCTGGGAACCAAACATATCAAGGTGTCCCGAGGACTTGGCCACCTTGGCCGCACCTAGCAGCCACCCTTTCTGGGTGCCCTGGAGTCTGGAGACCTCTTAGTACGTAGTGAGCTGGGTGGTCCAGCCAGTTGACCCGTTGGAGCCAGCAGCGATCGGACGCTACGAACGGGGCTCCTGGCAGTTTGTTTGATGTTTCTTCCAAGTTACTACACCTTGGTGCTCAGGTATGAGGAGCTACGCGCGCAAGGCACGGGGCGGAGAGCAAAAAATCGATGGAACAACAAGCATTTTGGTTTCCAGAGAGAGCTGTGGATTTTGCGAATTTTATTTGTGTAGCAATTACTTGTTATTTGGCACTTGGGCATTTCCAGAGAAAAAACAGCAAAAGACCTTTTGTTGTAGAGAGTTCGTGAGTTTGGGCCCCAGCCGTTTCTAGGCGAGGTTCCCGACACTGGAACCACAATGGTGGCCAGTTTAGAACGGCATTGGTTTGATGACTGATCTCAACATCCAGAGTTACTCTAGTCTGACAAGATGGGCATGTGGGGCGGCCTCTCATCGTTAAAGTAGATGTATCTGAGGTGGTTGCCTTCCATGTCAGACGGTTTGTAATCACCTTGGAGGTAGTTGCACTGTCAGTATGGCCCTTCCAACAGGTGACAAAAAAGATAGATAAAGAGAGTAACCCTCTGAATACATCGGCATACCCTTACCATCCCTCCCTTAGTAGTCTCAAAACAAACTTGGCCCTTGCCATTGGTTTCTTCTGGCCCTTCCTATACCTGGTGTGCTGTAGGCAAAGAGAAGATGGTGAAGCTCTTGAAGGACCATCCCCAGGAGACGAAGAAGCGACCGATCACGCGATCTCGCGGGTTCAACGCGACAAACCTCGCCACATCGGGAGCGAAGAAGCCAAGATTTTGCTCGGCTAGATCTTAGATAGACCTCCAAATAGATAGAAAAGTAGATCAGTCACCATAAGAATGTATATTGGAAACTGTGCCACCATCCATTTGGGGACCACTCTAAACCTCAAGAAGAACTGGAACCATCCAGCCAATTTGGGGCTCCTCTACCCCCCCGGTGGCACCCACTCCAACCATCGAACCCGAAACGGTGGCCAGGAGCCCAAAGGGGCAGAACAGCAACATGGACTTCTAAGGGAACATGTTGCTTAAGACACTCTGCAGGGGGGAAACATGCGTTTTCCAATTTGAGAGGACGAGGAGGCCCATTTGACTCGCCCTCCCCGCCCCACCCCTGACGCGCGAAACCCATGGGTGGAACCGGCCCTGACCTGGGGCGTCACTGGCCCTGACCCGGGCAGCACTGGGAATCGAATCCACCCTGGGAAGGGATTCGGTCACTTGGGGGGAGTGTTGCCGTGCTTTCAGCGCTGCAGGAGTGTGAAGCCCTGGAGAGCTCCATCCGTGCGCGCGCGGCGGAGGGCGAGCTGCCGGAAGACGAGGTGCAGGACGTGGAGGACGGCACCGGGTCCCGAAGTAAAGAAAGGCCAGTATCAGCTGAGTTTGATGACATGTCCCTGACTGTCCCTGACTTGGTGGCGCATTTGTGCGGGCTGAGATGGCTTTTGGAGTGCCCAGAGCATGCCATCACTGGCGAGGGCGAGAAAGAACATGCGAAGACAGCAGCCCCAGGACTCGCGTCATCTCGAGTCTTAAATGCAAAGTGTTTCTAAACTTTCGGGGTTAGGTTACCACATTTTACCACTTTTTGGGGGGGTGATACGGTATATACACGTTTGTCGTTTCATGGTCAATCATTTGCGAATTGATCGGCGGTACTGGTGGCTTGTGTAGCATGTTGGAATCATGATTGTTTGCATTTTCTCTGATGTTTTCATGATATTCCTTGCTTTGGCAACACTGGAGTTGTGGTGGGATTTTTGGGGGTATTCGTGTTCGTTGTGATTTGCAACGAGGATGACGCTTCTTGACTTGACTTGCTTCGGAAACACATTTGCGGGGTTCAGGGGGCTGTTGAGTTCCTTCTGAGGGCACCTTGTGAACGCACTTTCTTTGGGTGCGATGCTGTGTTGCTGTTCAGTTGTCAAATGGACCAAGTCCTTTTCTGGCAGAAAAACAACAACACGTCAGAAACAACCGTGAGTCGCTCAAGTCTGGGTGTTGGAACAAAACGGCAGGCATCTTTACGTTCGCCCGGCAAGCTCTCCAGCCCATTTCAGTGTTTGTCGTTCGATATCGTTCGAGACCTTGGTCATCGTGCGAAGTGATTTGGTCCTCCCAAGTGTCCCACTGATGCATGTGTCCATGCAGGTGTGTGTTCCCTGAAAAGAACGCCACAATCGAAACAAATCTCGTCAATGCACCACACCACCGATGTGGCCAGGGTGGTCTTGTTCGGGGTTCGGAGCCCGGTGTCAAAGAGGAGAAGATGATTCTACCCAGTGGATATCCATTGGCAATTGGCATCATTGGCTTTCCCCACTCAAAACAGGTTGGAAAAAAGGGGACCTTGACATATTCTCCAGGGATCTCCGTCGATTTCGTCACCCATTCGGTGAAGCATTGGCACAGATCCAGGAGTGACCCGAAAGTCTTCAGAAGCAGGTGGTCTGCAGGTGGATTTCAAGGACGCCGCTCGCAGAGTGTTTATTTTGCCAATGCCACTGGCGCAATGCCACGTTTGGATGCTTGGCGGAAGATGTTTGAACATGTTTTTTGTTTCAATGCGAGACTATCACATGGTCGCAAGCATACTGGCAACTATCTTATTTGATCTTATTTGTACTAATTGAACATCCGGAAAATGTGCTGGTGCCAATGGTGCGTGATCACGCAGTGGCCGAAATGTGCGACAATGGAGCAACCAAAAGGGAAAGCGTCATATCTTTGGAGAGGAACATTTTCCGTTTGTTTAACCGGTGGTGGTTCTTTTTGATATGTATCGGGCTTCTGGGTCCCCAAACATACAGGTTCTCACACCTTCCAGTTGATTGATGGTTCAAAAAGGTGTCCCATGGGACCCTCCAGCGACCCATCGGGTCCACAGGCGTATCATGTGGTGCAGAAAGAATCCTTCCTCCGGGCCTGATTTGTAACCACCGGTGGCCGTTTTCCTAGACGATCTAGAGGTCAGAGTTGATTCCAAGCAGTTCGAGGGCAGGGTTTATCACAGAGTCTTTGCGCCTGTAGGTGAACATTGGTGGAATTTTGTGGATATTGAAGGCCCCCCTTTTATCAACTGGGTCTGGGGTATGCCCACTTGCCCGAACATGTATTTCCATTTTTTCACAAGGGCAGTGCAGGATCGGCGTCGCGCATAATCATGGGCACCTAACCTGAGACGGCCACCAATGAGTCTCAAGATGCTTGGGGGGGCTTATTAAACTTCACCGTAATAACATGTTTTCACTGGTGGGGCCTGTGGTCTAGGATCAAGTTCCTTGAACCCCCCAAGCTGCAGCACACCCGTAGTAGCCGCCAAAGCTCAGCGCAGCGACACATGGTATTTGCGCAGCAGGTTTCCTATGCTTGCCCTGTCAAGACTTGGTGGCCGGGTGCTTTTCGATTCCTGTCCACGCATCAGCTTCAGAGTGGGAAGTGCTGGCAAGTGAGTTCGCATGGGCGGTGTTGCAACCTGGCGGGAGTTGTGTCGGATGGACATTTGCATCCATCCGGCTACAGGCAGGTGAGCATCTCAGGTTGCAGCTTCAAGGTGCATCGCTTGGTGGCCTTTGCTTTCTTAGGACCTCCACCATCAGAGCTTGCATGGCAAGTGCACCACCGTGATGGCAACTCGTCCAACAATCACTTGAACAACTTGGAGTACGTCACTCCCAGACAGAACATCCTCTATTCATATGCCAAAGGTTCCAGACGCACTGGTGGTCCTGCGCAATCGAAGCCGGTGATGTGGAGAGCTGTGGGGTCCCAAAGCTGGACCACCTCGCCGTCTATGACACATGCAGCACAGCAGGTCGGGACGGACACTTTTACTGTTTCAAAGGCGTGCCGGCATGGCAAATCTGCAAATGGCTTCGATTTTCAGCTGGTTGATTGCACTGAAAGCACAGTCTGGGTAGGAGAGGAGTGGCGACAAATGTATGACCCAATGTCGGGCACTGAAGTGCCTGGAAGGAGGGTGAGTTCACTTGGTCGAATACAATCTCAAAAGGGTTTGATATCAAAGGGGACCAAGATCAAGATCGGTTATTTCACGACAGAACTGTCATTGGCCTCGGGAAGACGTTCAGAATTAGTGCATCGGCTTGTGGCGTTTGCATTTTTAGGGTGGCCACCTTTGAGCCTAGACCGTAGCTATTGCCAAGTAAACCACAAGGATGGCGACAAGGGCAACAACGCAATTGAAAACCTGGAGTACGTCACCCCTGCTGAGAACCTGGCGCACTATCATGCCAATGCAAGCAGCCTTCCCCGACAAGGCAAGCCGGTGGAAAGCAGACGACATGATAGGAATGACAATAATGTTAATAATGATGCGTGGCAGTGGCATGGTTCTGCGTCTAGTGCTGCAAGAGCGCTTGGGCTGCACGCCTCCGCAATCTCCAGGTGCATCCGTGGCCACTGCCACCAGGCTGGGGGCTTCACGTTCCGGGCAGCCGAAGCAAAGATCACTATTTCTTATGCAGATGAGGAATGGCGCAAAGTTGACATTGAACCTCACCTTCAGGAGAGAGCTGGCAGAAAACATCAGCCATGCGACCGGGTTGTTCAGTTCCTCAATTGTTCAGGATGTGTTGTGGTGGTTGCAGTGAGTTGGTGAGTTTCAGGAAGCACCGTCATGTTTGCACGCACATCAACATGCACCAACTGGACGATTATCCTTCTCCAGCACCTTTGACCATGAACAGCTGAGTCAGGGGCTAAAGACGGCATAACTCAAAACACCACGCATATGCCCAGGCTGTATTTTTGCGACCCATGACGACCTTATGTACATGACAGACATTTTCATGACAAGCCTTGGTTGCCGGTACCTGTGAGACTTAAGACCACTGCCACTTGTCAGAAAGGTTTTTCCTCATCTTCCTGATGCCACTCGAGTTGTGCTCAATGAACCAATATTGCTAATTATGGATCCTCCCTTTGGTAGCAGAGACAAGGACAACCATTGGACCATTCAAGACGTATTTTTCGGTGCGATTGAAAACGATTTCAAGGAGCGGCAAAGTACAGATGATCTATATGATCGGCACTTCACTGCAATCCACAAGGGTTCCGCATGGTTCTCCACACGTCGAACTGCCGAGACCCGATCGGAGTGTTGCTGAGTCCGAGGATTCGTTCGGCGGCTGCACGCTGATTCTGGGCCGAAGAACCTGAATTGGCTGATGGCCGTGAACCAAATCGCCAATGCTTTAAGAACTATGTTTATAGTCAATCAAAGTCTGATTCTACTAGTCTTTTGACAGCTTTTGACATATGTTTTGTTTATAGTCTGGTAGAATCAGACTTTGATTTGATGCTGTGCAAAGAACCCGCAGCAGGCGCAGCGCACAAATGAACCGATTCGGTGCTTATAGATATCTTCGTGCGGTGTGTCGTGAAGATTCGTGCGAGAGGTTTAGCCCATGAGTTGAAAGACGTTAGTGTTGTGAGAAGTTTACTGTGGTTTTGGGATCCCCAGGAGGTCAGGCTGCTTTGACTGCTCACAAGCAACAACATTAATTATCCAGGAACGCGGTTTTCTTACGCCTTCTCGAACTGTGATGTGAACAAGTGGCAGTGGGCACCTTCGTTAGCCATTTCTTGATGCATTGTTTTGAGTGATGCAATCTTTTCTTGCTGTGGCTCAAACCATAGAAACCAGGCCGCATTGTGGCCTTGCCATTGTTTGACCATGCGTTGCATCTCAGTGTTCGCGCTCTTTGCAGTTGCCTCATCTATCCGGACGGTGGAGGATGTGCACCACAACTCTTCAGATGGACAACCTTGCCTCTGCACCAAGACTCCTTGGGACCAGCCCAGCGATTGCTGCGCCGCACGCTTTGAGTGCATGAACAGGAAGGGGCAGGGCAGATGCAAGCCCGCCATCACCAGATATCACAGGAAGTTGTCAGAAAAAGATGTTTGAATTTGAAGGATATGACCGCACTCAGTGTGCCGGCCAGGACGTCTACAATCGACATGTTTTTTGTGGGAAAAGACCATATGTTCACCTGGATGGTAGTGCCGATTGATGTTGCCAGCATCCAAACGGCAAGACTCTGCAAAGGATTAGAGCACGCTGAGCTCTACAGGCCATTGGAGTCTGCGGTGTTGGTTCAGATTTGTTTTTGGAAGATGGTTGTCGGTCGTCGATCCAGTTGGTTGTGCAACTTCACTGACTTATCCCAACTTTGAGAAGATCATCTACATAGCAGCAGGCCATAGGCATGCAACCAGATATAACTTGAGCAAGGGCCTGTTCGAAGGGGTGCGATTTCGGGGAATGCTTCCGCTGGCTGGATCCCAATCTCTCTGGCATGCACCTGCCACCGCGACCCCGCTGGGCGGCGCCTGCGGCGCGGCAGCGGCGCAAAACAGCCGTCAAAAGCAGCTGTGGCCTGTGTTGTGGGCACGGCGCGGTGGTTGTATCGAGTGTTGGGCGCCTTTTTTGGTGTGGAGGAATAGAAGGGGCCGTTCTAGGTGAATGAAGTGGACTTCCTGGATGTTGCAAGTCACCCAACAGTGTGAGTGGAGCTACTTTTATCAGAGCTGTTGAGAGGTGATGTCCATGTTCAAACACAAAAATCACTTTTCCTGGGGTGGGGGCCAAACAGTGGCTAAGTCGGACAACTCGATTGTGCCTACTCAAATGGCTATAAACTCAAATGGCTCGGGCAGGGAGGTCAACCTACCAGGCTTTGGGGATGCTTAGAGCCAGACATGTATCAGGACCTTCCAACAGGTGGTTTCTGGACCACCCTTCAAGCTCTAAGGAGCTTTTTATAGACACCCCTTGGAGGGTCCTGGTAGAGGTTTCCCACCATTTTCGGGATTTCCACCGCTCAACGTCTGATGTGCCAGGCGCAGCTCAGTCGCGCGACCAGTTTGCGGTCACGTCCTCTCCGTGTGGATGCCTGATGGACCGGAGGAGCCCGTCAAACGTGAAGAGATTTGTAGAGGTTTGATGGGGATCCAGGCAAATCCCACGGATGAAGTGGCTGATCACCAGTGTTTCCAAAGACTAAAACCTGCGACAAAAACCATCGACCGAACAAAAGCCTGGTTCCTTATTATTATAGTAACTCATGGGGTCTTTGAAATGAAATTACACATGGTTGGCGAGAGAGGGGTTCCAATCAACGAAGATGCAGCGAAGACGCATGCCATTCCAATGGGCATTGTAGAGGCTTCGCGCACATACTCACAATGTGCCGTGAGTGCCCACATCAGCCACGACTTGTTCCACTTTCGAAAGCTTAGGTTGGTGAGTTGAAGCATGTTGAAACCTTCAACTTGATTCGCTGGTTTTCCATGAATCTGAATCTCCATGACTGCAAAGAGAGCCGAACATTGGGGCGTGTCAGCAGCAACTCCGCAAGGAAGGATCCAACTAAGATGCTGAATTTGGGCATCATTGTCTCATCATGGGGTCGCTTCCTATGGATCGTTTGCAGAACCGGCCAGTCAAGTGACCTGGAGTCCTCTGAACTCGCAACTACCTGGATATCTGAGCAGACCTGTAGTGGTTTTCATCATGTTTCAGCCAGTGCCCAACTGCGAGCAAGTGCCCACATGGATGGTGCACAAGTGAGGATAACATATTACAACCACCCAGTATTCTCAAGAAAACGGGATCCTGGCCTAGCCCTGTTTCGATGATGGTTGGGGTGGGTGCCAGAGGCATTTGATCAACTTCTGCAGATATGGGCCAGGAGCGCTAGGGTATCAAGGGATGTTCTACCACGTTTTGCCTGTGGCTCACCTGATTACCAGGTTCTTTTCCATTTTGGGGGGGCTTTCCGGAGTCGATATGGGGTTGCTTAGACTGGCCGTGGGTCAAGAGCTAGTCACTAGTCGCTGATAGGTGGACCTCCCGTAGGTCGTCTATTCTCCTCATGTTCGGTCCAATGAGGTTCCGGTTTTGCCCAGCCATCTTGAGCCCTTTGAAACCCATAGCTGGGACACCCATAGCTGTCGGTTCCAAGGCTAGCAGGTTCAGTTTCTCCAAGCACTCCTTCCCCAACCTTGTTCGGTGACCTGAGATGGTGGCGGGTTTGGCCAACCAGGGTGACCCACTCCAACATTTGCTGGTTTTGCCCTGCGAACACACCTGAAATAGAATAATGAACACACACCTTTTGACTTGGACCCTATATCCTTTTAAATGTATACACGAACCATCCCGCTGAGGATTTATACTAAAATGCTACTTGTCCTGAATGACCTGCACTGTATTCCCACTGCTTTGTGCTGGAAGAACCTCCCACTGCTCCGTGCCGTGCTGCGTTTCTCCGCTCCGCTGCGACCGTTCTCAAGGGCTGCGACCCGCCTTGTGGCCGAACCGCTCTTCACAGCCAATAACTACTACCAGCACCCGACTTCACAGGTGCTTCCTGGTGACAAAGAGAGGCAGGTTCACCACCTGTTACAGTAGGCTCTCCAAACAGCCGAACCTTGGAGGGTCCTGGTATAGAGCTTTTGTTGGCGAAGCTCCTTAGCCCGCTGGACGCGAATCCGAACCGATATGTTAAGTTTCCACCCAATTTCTCTCGGGCGCGATGATGATGGCTCTGGCGTTGGCTTTCCAGCTGAGTGCCGCCTTTGCCGTGTCCACCGGTGCGTCTTCGCCCTTGGTGGACACACCGGCTGGAACGTTGCGAGGGACGCTGGAGGGAGAGGCGCCTTGAGAGCAACGAGGAGTTCTTCGGGAGCTTCTTTTAGTTGAACATCAAAGACTCACCTTAACCCTTCTGCCTTTTGCTGCTTGGCGACTCATAGGAATAGGTATATATCCATGGTATTTCGACCGGCCGAGCCTGACTGAGTGACCTTTGTTTCGAACATATTTTAGGTGGTTGGTGGTCCAAACTAGAGGTCACAACTTTCTCTCTCTAGGTCTCTAGGTCGGTCAAAGTGGCACCCGGCATGGCCTCGCCCAGAAAAAACCCACTCCAAACAGGTCGGTGTGGGGCATGCCGAAGTGTGGCAGGTCCGGTACTGCACAGAAGTGGTGAGAACGAAGAGAAACAAAAGGAACCTGAAAGGTTCCGCCTCCTCTAGACTTCCGCCAAGACCTACCAACATGCGTTTTTTCCATGTGGGAAGGTCTTGGTGGTCAAAAACCCTTTCCTCACATCCGCATGACCTTTGGCACGGCGCACGTGCTTCCATGAGGTCAGTCAGGTCGTTTGGTGTTTTTGAAATCCATCAGCCTGACGGTGTGTTGATCGAAACAGACAACCCGCTCTACTGAGCATCCACCCGGTCGTGCCCAGAAATCGCAGGGACTCCGCGCGTTCGGCCGCGCGGGCTTTCGGCGAAAGCCACGTGCAGGTGCACGTCTTCAAAGGCATTCCCTACGCCGAAGCGCCAGTGGGTGACCTGCGCTGGCGGCCGCCGGTGGCGGCCAAGCCATGGGATGGCGTGCGTGCCTTGGATGGGTGCAGCGGTCGCGGTTCCAAGCGCCAGAGACGCGAAGCCAGGGCGCTTTTTGGGTGGGAGATGGGATCGGGACCTTGGGAGAGGATGAAGGATGAAGGATGATTTGAGTTGCTTCAAATTGAACATCTTACGAAACGATGGTTGATTCCTTTCAATGGCTTGGTGATCCGGTCAGTTGCTTAACCTGTGTTCGGTGGGTTCGGGTTTTCTCTCCGGAACATGCTTGGATTACTTGTAACGAGTTCGGCGATGATGGCTTTTGGCTCCGGGTTGCGGGGGTCGATGGCACCTGTACACCCCCCGCCCTGAACATTGGACAGGAGTGGCCACATTGGGCCTGTTTTCTTCTTTTTTTTCGCGATTTGAGCTCCCGCAGTTCCGTCAAGACGCTTTGTTCAACATGGTTTCTGGAACAAGCCCTCCTGTGTATCGATGACGAACTATGCGGACTGAACTGTGGAGCTGGCGGACTGGACGACAAGGCACGCGGTCGGCGGGACCTCGCGTGCCTTCACCGGACTGGCACACTGGCGGTGTGGTGCGGTCCAAAGTGGGGTCCCATGGGGTTCGGGCCAGGGGGGTCCTGATATATGATGGGGGTCCGGGTCCGGGACCCAAAATGGAGGAGGCTTTGAACTGGGCAGTTCTTTTCTTTTTTTTGTGAGGTGCAGTGTATGAGGTGCAATTTGGTGTGGCAGTGTGTCAGTGTTAATTAGTTTGGTTGGCCAAGAAGCGTGTAGTGTTAGCCCCTCTAACTCAGGGTCGAGATTGGCTTGGGTGCCTTGACCGAAGAAATAGGATAGGTGTTGAATCCTCATGGCCGACGAAACTCAGGGCACGATTTTTTTTTAATTCTAAGGGATTCTTCAAGTCCCCAGTGGATCCCAGCTTTAACTGCTATAACTAAGAGCCTAGAAGCATCTAGAATCTAGAAGCCCTATAGGTGATCTTGGTAGTTAGACACACCATCCTTTGTGCTTTTCCTGACCGGGACCGACCTCCTCCTTAGCTCCACCGTCCGTGGTGTGAGGTGATGCTTCGAGCTTTGGGAATTATTGCCTACAGAAGGAGGCGAGAAGACATCGGATCGGAGCAGCAGATGCCGCCGAAGAGCAGAGCCACTGCAGAGCCACTGCAGCCACGCAGAGCCACGAGAGAGTCAGACGACGACGACGTGAACAGTTTGTTGGGTCGGAACACCTGCAAAGGAGTATAGGTTTTGCATGGGCCATGCCTTTTCTTGGGATTTTTGGAGGTGTTGGGTAGAGGAAGAGACTCCGAATTCCAGGTGGCTTTTTTCTTGAAGTCACAAAACCACTCACGCACTCCAGCTCACCTGGTATTTGCTGCACCCAGAATGTGCCAGCTTCAGGAAGGATCTCCCGAATCGTTTGTCAGCCTTTCCGTCTCCAGACATGGGTTTTGCGAATCAGCTGATGTTTGATTTGCTACCTGGGTTGTCCCAGAAGGCTACCCTACACTGCTATAAGAGGTCAGGGATCTCATCAGCCAGGACACCCAGGTATGGGGCCAGGTAGGTTTGGGTCCCATCGGACAGCCAATCCCCGCAGGCCACCGGCATTTGGCATTTGCGCAGCCAGGCGCGGAGTCCTAGGCTTCCGCAGCGGCGGAATTCGGCTGCACAAATAGGCACCCAGCTGGGTGCGTTTTTTTCGGGCCAGTGAGGTCATCAAAGAACATCCGAAAATGAGTTGAAGGGACTATTGTCACATACCAGGGCCCCTAAGGCCCTAAGGGGTGTCCAAGAATAACTCCTTAGAGGTTCATGGGTGTCTTATTAACCACCCCAAACCGGGGCCCTGGTATAGGTCGATTTGGGGGTGAAGGTTTCTGCCAGATCTTTCAGGTGCCAGGTTCCCAAGTCTTGCTGACAGGCAGGATCTTGGCCTCTAGGGGTTCACCCTATAAATTAACACCCTAGGGAGAGCAGAAGCGACACTGGTGTCGGGGGTGTTTCTATTGAGAGAAGGTATGTTGATGCCAGCAGCATGCGTTAGAGAGTTGCTTGGACAAGAGCGTTATATAAGCCAATAGTTTTGATGTTTGGCCAAACATCCAGCGGAGGACATCTCTTTCCTGAGGAAAAATCACACACATACTTGTGGAAGGCCTTTTCATGGTCGAACGCACGGATTCATATCAAGTTGGTGCTAGAGTCTAGAGCTTGATAGTCCACTTGTTTTTCTTTCTCGTCTCTCCTTCGGCGGTTGCCAAGACCGTCCGCCACATGTTTGCATGCCGCATGGCGCGTGTTGGCGCATGCATCATCGTCGGTTCCTACGGAGCTATGGGGCATTTGTTCCACGAGCTGTCAGGGCTTGGATCCGGCAGTGCTCAGAGGTGTTCCGGCACGGACGTGAACCAAGTAAGCTCACCGAAACCGAGTCATGGACATGGTTTTCTTGGGTCCAAGACCCTGGCGAAGTGAAAGTTCCAACAAGCGCTTCTTCTGTGACTTTGCGTGGGTTCGTACTCATCCAGGCAAGCAACCTTAAAGTGTAACATTGAATCATCCCTACCCCCTTTAGGTAGAGGCCATATTCATGGTCCCCCCCCGTAGGGATATTGAATCTACATTTCTCATAAAGAAGAGACCGACCGAAGAGAGATCCGAAACAAAGCGTCCTCGCCTCCTCCGAGGGTGGCAGTGAAGACTGTCTCTACTTGAATGTCTACGTCCCTCCCGATGTGCAGCCTAACGCCTCTCTTCCATGCCGGGAATGCTCAGATCGCAAGCAGAGTCGGGCGACGGGCTAGAGTTCTCACAGAGTTCTAACCCTACAGGTGAATGATCTCATTTTACTGGACCTGGTCATACAAAACCACTACTCAGGGAGGTAAGAGACCAGGTTTCACTGGGTCCTTGGACTTGTAGTGAAAGTAATTATTGTGGACATGCACATCATGGAATCATGGAATTCTACCGGGGAGTTTTTGTTGGGCCATTGTTGGGCCCGGTGGAGACCCGATACAGTCCGAAATGCTGCTGTGGGTGGGTACTGGTTCGACCAGAAGTTCTTGGATCGAACCATGGTCGCCCCGATGTGGGGCTGTCGAAGACTGGAAGCCGGGTTAGAAGGATGTGAGTCGTCTGTCTACTTTTTTTTTCGTTCCCGAACCAATTGAGTGCCAGGGGCTGAAGAGGGCCTAGAAGGATGTGAGTAGTCTATAGACTCGCGCTTCACGCAGATGGTTTGGGGAGTACATGGTGGGGGCTTTTGCCTGGATGCTCTGATCTGGATATGAGGAAGAGGATGTGCCTTTTTCTGGCCTTGGCGATGGTACTTATAGACTGTAGAGCAAAGTCTGTGGTCTTCCTAAAAGACCATGTGGCCTTCCCGAAGATAGACACGTGATGACCCAAATTTATCCAAATTTCATCTCATCATCTGATGGTGACATGTTCCATTTACCAGAGCCTAGTAGCACCCGGAACGCGCGTGGCGTGGTCATTGGTTGAGACGCCATGTGGCGGAACCGCGCGTGGCCCCGGAACCAATCCGCGCACCTGGTTCAGACCGTGCCAGGTCTTGTGTGGATCCATGGGGGTGGCTTCGAGCTCGGTGCAGAACGCGGAAGGGCTGGGTTTCTTCGGTGCAGGAGGTGGAACTGGAATGCACTGCATGGCCGCGCATGGCCGCGCATGGCCGCGCATGGCGCATGCTTCAGAGAGAAGTGGGTCACGAGGTGCGCGAAAATCATCGCTGGAGAAACTGGTGGTTTCTGCAGCATTGCATGGAACATCCAACGGTCGACAGTCGACATTGTCGACGAACGGTGATGCGAGTGGAGGACAAGCTCGGACGAGCCACAAGGGAAGATCTGAAAAGACGCGCGTCTCCGGTTTTTTCTCCAAGAATCCCCGAAGGCAACGGTGACGTGAAAAACAACGCTGCCATCTTCGGGTAACCCGACGTCGTTGGGCAGCTTAGTTGTGACATCGTTTAGATGTGATGTGACCCTTGATATGCTTCTTGTTTCTAATAGCTTCTTGTTACTACTAGTAAGGCACCTGTTACTAGTAGCGATGCACTTGTTACTATATAATAGCTCCTTGATATTATAAGGAATAGGTGGGCATATCGAAATAAGTGTTGCAACTAGATGGCAGGTGCAGGATTCCAAAGGCTAATGTGGCAATACTCTGGAGATAGAGTTCTAAAATTTACTTTGCTGTCGCTGCGGCGTCAATGCATTGATTGGGCTATGCGTGAACCTAGGCACGTCAATGAGTGGTGAAACTTCAGCAATCTCTTGACGATTCTTCACGTGTCCCTGTATGAATCTGCATTCTTGTCTCCTGCAGTCAATTGCCACACATATGCACCCTGCGCACCCTGTCATCCTAAATCTGGTGACATGTGGAGTTTGGCTTCCATGTTCTCAAAACTAAAAGCATCCTGGAAACTCTGTCCCAACCAGAAACAGTTCTGGATGTTGCCCCCAGTCCCAGGCACTTCCTATAAAGGATCTCAAAAAGCCATATTTTCACAACCAAAACTGTTTCTGGTTGTTTGGGCTTCCAGAATCAATGTTGGGGTCTTCCAGGATAAACTTTGGGGTCGTTCTTGTTTGCCGATTGCTTGCGCCCTTTTTTTGCACAGCACCGCACCGCTGGCCCGGTGGGACCCAGCTCGTCCTGAGTGTCAGGGGCGCTGGTCGTCGAGTCGTTCGGCCTTTTGGCACCGAGAGCTTCGCAGGAGAGCTCTACAATGGAAGTGACCTGGTGAGCTTCTGGCGCACCCGAAGCTCGGATGGGCGAGGCGAGTATTCCATTAAAGGTCCCACACGAAGCTCGGTTCTATCTACTCTTACATTCCTATAGTAGATAGATATTTAATATAGTTTATCTTATACGTTATATACGTTCTTGTCTTTATACAATATTTGTTGTTTCAGTGGAACAGGTCAAGTTTGGGTTCCGAACGGGGAGTAGATACGTGAGGGGCAAGAATCATGGACCCTGCAAGGTTCCACCCGCCTAGTATACCTATAGAACCTGTTTGTGACCTCTATTTTGGACCACCACACTCCCACCCCAAATTTCGCCAAACTTCCTATCAAAACAGGGGTCAATTGGGTTCCAGGCATAGTTTCCAAACCCTCCATCTTAGCAGTTTAGGGTGCAAGGGTGGTTGTTTGGAGGTCCAGACACCAGTGATAACGGTGTCCAACCTCTCAGACCGTGTGGTGGGTCGTGGACACCAGTGGGTCGCGGCCACTGGGCCGCGGCCACGGACGCCCGACTGAACCATCGTTGGGGTCGCGCTTTTTCCAAGTAAAGGCTAGTAATGAGGAAGAAACATGTGTAGACATGCAACATACAACAACCGTATAGTGTATAGTGTAGACATGTGTAGACCACTTGCGTGTGTCGACCTGTGTGTGTCGTTCATCTCCGTCTCCGTCTACCCCAAGGCTCGGACCCCGTTCGCTTGGGTTTGAAGCCGACCGACTCCGACATGCAGCGATCCAGGAGTGCCGGGTAGGCACATGAGAACAAGACCTTCAGGGTTCATCCAAGTCGAGAAGAACCGAAGCAGCAGAGGTCCTGTCAACACCCATGACCCCCACATCGGAAGCTTTTCAGTGAAGCTTGTCGTGCGAACGTGCGCGACTTCACGGTCGAATCATGGCACATTTCTGCCATTCATCCCCAGTTCAGATCCGCCCGTGGGTTCAATGCCAAACGTTTTGGCGTAACCATATGCGGTACCTACCAGTGAAGTCGGTATACCACACCTCCACACCCCTTGCTTGCCGGTGTGTACAACAAGGTCGGGGGTGTCAGGTATGCGATGGTATGCGAAACCTCCCCCTGACCCGGCTCGCATCTTCAGGAAATGTCTCAGCCTTGGTGGTGACGCTGAACTATCGCCTCAATGTCTTTGGCTCCTCAAAGACAGACGGTCAGGGCCGGTGCACGTGGTCTCTCTCTCGGTTCCGAAAAACATCCAAAGGCGCTTGAAGATGCGGAAGTCGGCCAGTTTGGGCTTGTTTTGAGGAGGTTCTGAATGGTTCTGAATGGTCGCCCTGGAATAGGCCGAGAAGCACCCCTTCCGGTCGAACCGAGCACCTCGAACCAGTGTGGTGATGGAGAGCTCCCTGCAAGTCCAGTCTGACCCAGTAAAGCCTGGTCTTTTACATTCTTGTCTTGAATATTGCTTTTGTATGACCAACTCAAGTGAAATGAGGTCTTTGACTTGTAGGGATAGTATTGCACCATCTCCTTCACTGATTGCACACAAAGTCTTTAACCTTGTGACACTGGGACACACTTTATATAAGTGCGGAACCAGAACTGAGCTGTCTAGGAAGGATGTCAGAAAGGACTTTTTGTTGCCCTAAAAAGTCGGATTACTCAAAGAGTGAATCGCCAGGAACGAACTGCAAAAAAAAGGACGCGGACTTGTGTTGGGGGTTCCTTTCTGAACACCAAACACAGCAAACATCAGGATCCTTTGAAGGTGAAATCTGCTTCTGAAGGTTTGCACCTACCTTCCGAAGGGGTGAAGCGAACTGGAAGGGTTGTGTTTGGATCTGGAGTCAGACCGCGCTGCGGGCATGCGCCATACTGTAGCTTATATACTTCATGACCTTTCGAGTCCACCAATAGCGCTACAACCACAGCTGCTTGGAAACCCCACAGGCGAGCGGAACTCGTTCTCGCGCCGGCGCTCCGCTTCGCCGCTTCGCCCACGCGTGAACGGTCTGTCGCTGTTCGGAGGGGTTGGGGGACTGGTCGGTTCCACGACGTCGGTTCCGTCGCTTGACCTGGTTCCGAGGTCTGGTCGTTCGGTATGGCTGGTTTTGACCTACAGACATATAGTCCATGCAACAACCTGCAGCCGCATAGAAGCAACATGTTCCAACTTGCCGTAGCGCCGTTCGGTATCAGGGAAACACATGGAAACCTGCCCTGCCCTGCCTTGCCCTGCGAATAATGAGCACCCTGCCAGCGCCGCAGCCAAGGCTTCTTGGGCAGTGAGCTGTTGAGAGATAGAGATCCTTTGAGATCCACTGGAAACTACGGCATGCAGGCCATTTCTGTGCCAGTGGCGCTTTCGGTGGGGCAAATGGCGTAGTGACGTAGTGATTGTCTCAAGGGGTGGCGTTGCTCTGAGGGTAGGTGCCAACTTGCATTTGAAGCCGCCATTCACGAAGGGCTTCCCGGATCTTCCCGGCGAACGCCGCGTTCCCTTGGGTTCTTTAACCGGGTGACCCGGTCTTATCCAACAAGCAGTGTTTTGCAACTGCCAATATTCACAAGGTGCATGTGGAACATTCTATCAGGGAAATCATCGAAGATATAGAATTCATTTGCACTTCTTCATCCCCTTTCATCTTCCTTGCACCGCGCTCATCTTCCTTGCACCGCCCAGCCGCGGCCTCCCAGCCGATTCCCGCCGATTCCCTCCTCTCAAAAGTGGCTGCTCTGATGGGTCTGGGTGAATTCATCGGATGACTCATCTCCGCTGGTCCAGGTTTCTGTCGGGCGACGTTTCAATAGATCGACGCCTGGCTCGTTGTTTCGGGATGGAGGATCAGCGCATGGCTTTGCAATGGGTGCAGAAGAACATCGCGGCCTTTGGTGGTGATCCCAAGAAGGCAACGATCGTGGGGTAACAAAACTAGCAGAAGCGGAAGAAGCACGATGCAAGGTTTGTTGTTTGTTGATTTGAGAATACTTTGGTGAAAGAGCAAACCGGCTTGGAGCTCTTGGAAACATCCAGGTAGGAGAATTTCCGGGTATTCATCAATCAACAGTCTACAGGATTTGTTGCTTGTGGGGTTGGATTTCCCATCCAAAGGCGCAGTTGGTTTTGTTTTGGGGTGCCCTGTTTCTTGGTGGGAGGACATTTGAGGACATCATATTTATGCAATTCTTTTGCGCAGGAACCACGACTTGGCAAGGATCAACCGCTTTTTGGGCGTCGTGTTTTTCCATCACCGTGATTCTTTGAGGCTTTCAATTGGCTCGCGTACCGGAAATGAACGCGTTGTGGTGGGTGTTACTTGGTGGTGTTGCCGACGTCCCACCATTGAGTCCCACTGCAGGTGATGATCTTTGGGCAATCCGCCGGAGCTGGCAGTGTTACTGGACTGGCACTGAGATCCGGTGGGGGGCCTGTGGACCGGTACATTGAGACACCTTCGTCACAACCCTCGAAGAAGGAGACCAGTTGGAGCTTTTGCGACAAGTCTTCGGTAGCATTGGGTCACAGAAAGAACCACCACGTCAGACGCACAGCCCACGCAGCGAATCTGCGTGAGGCCGGTGGGTTCCATCTTCGTGTGGCTGAAAACTGGCCATGTGGAGGTGGTGAAATACAGGTTGAATAGTAGGATGGTGGGTCAGTCAAGGAAAGCAGGTTCAAATGATTGCTACACGCAACAGGCGTCTCGAAATGCCACAAAATGCATCCTTTTGACGATGTTGTTACTGTAGATGCCACGAAAGTGCCGACGGACTGCTAAAGAGTGGATGATACTCAATGTTCATCCTGTTTGACAATGGACTGCGAAACGATATCATAGAGCAACTTTGAGACATGCACCACTTGATTCAGGACAGTTCAGGAGTGTCTCTCTTGACAGATGGTAACATGAAAGGATATATCAAAGTTCCCTGAGCCTATGAGTACCAAAGGCGTTGGCCCCAAACATTTCTGAATTGATCTGAACATGTTCTGCGACCATGCCACCCTTTTAGTTGCAGCAACAATGTCCTGAGTTCCAATGCAATGCACCAGGGCCCCCGCAGGTGTATGTTTTCCAGGAATTCCGGCATGGTCCAGATGGAGGCCACAGAAACCATGTGAAATGGCAACATATGATTAATCATACTGAAGCATACCTATTTTGTTGATCCTCAAGCTGCTTCAAGTTGAATGTTTCAGATGCTGCAGCCCAGTTTCGCAACCCCACCGGGACCATCGGGGGGTCAACGGTCTGCCATTGACGACCCGCGTGTGTGGTCCTTATAATGATGTGGCTAAGAAAGCAACGACCCAGCAACCCGCAGGTGTCAGTCCATGTTTTACCAACATGTTTGCGGCCCAGCTTCTGTTTGTTTCATTTGCGGCCCATCGTCCGCGCGTCCGCATGTGCTGCCCGTCCGCCACTCACTCACCTCACTCTCACTCACACTCTCTCTCTCTCTCTCACTCTCACTCACACCTTCAGAAGAGCCGAAGATAAATCAGTTTAAGCTTCCCACCCAATGCGAGTTCTATTTTGCACATCCCGTCCTTTGACGAAGTGGATTCGAGGCTCAAAGGCTCTCATCCTAGGTTTTTGGGTGTGGATCCTCTCACTCAGTCTGAGTCCATTGCAAACAGCCTTCATTACAAATATGTTCTGGGCTTGGACTTGAGCAAGATGGACAAGTCTGTGGCTCATACAAATACTGACAAATATGCGGGGGTTGAATCTTCATGCTTTGATGAGCTGTCCATTACCAATTTACAATGGGTACAGCAGTCGGTGCTACATGACTTCTCCTATTGCAACGCCTTGGGGTTCTGTGTACCGCACTAGCTACAGGCAGCTTCAATCCGGAGCTACAGGCAGGTTCAAAGGATTGAGTCTTTCTGGACGTGTCCTGGAGCTGTGACCTGTTCATTGGAACTGAAAAAACAAGCAGGTTGGAGGAGACTCAGTATTGGGTGATTGGGTGACGATTTGTTCATTGTGCACCACGAGGAGCGCAAGGCTTCATTGGTGAGGTCCTTTGCCACTCCCTTTGCCAATGAAGATCAAGGGATCTGAGGTGCTTGACTGTCAACAATGGAACTGCTGATGATTTATTAAATTATTGGGCTATATACTCCAGACACGATCCATGGAACTGCCATAGGACTGCCGCCCCATTGACCCCTGGCACCACCCCAATTGATCGGCATATATGGCATACATGGAGTGTCTGGGTACTGTGGTTCCTGGCCAAAGCTTTTCTTGACGAAGATGATTTAATCTCTGGCTTGCTTCAGCCTGAAAGGCTTCCAAAGAACTGCTTTCCAAAGCTCGGAGCGTTACACCCGATGTCGCTCGCGTTTCTTCAAGGGATGCCCCTCAAAGCTCAGCTGTTGGATACTTGTGATCGTCGACCTCCAAGCGACTTTCGTTCGACTTGCTTCGACGATTTCAGGCATCAATTGAACTTTCCAATGAATTGTTATTAATGAAGAGATCGATGTACACCAAATGGACTAGCTGGTCCAGAAGCAGCAGAGAGGCAGAGAGCTAACAATTTTTTCAGAGGCTGTCATGCCAAATGTGAGGATTACCATTACTATGTTACCATTTGAAGTTAAAGTTGCTATATGACAGAATCATTTAGGTCATTTGTTGTGAATGTAGCCTCTAATTACACTGTTTCCATCTACTTTTTGTGTTAACCCAGTTAAACTTCCAAGCATAAAATTAACACGATGGTGCTCACATTGCAAATTTGAAACATAACATCAGATTCTTTTCAGATCTGTGCAGACATCCGTTCGCATTTGGTTGGTTTTCCACCTTTCCACGCGCTGACTGGGGCAACTTTGCCCGCAGATTGTCGCGGTTTGATTTCATCCCCCCCCTCGAAATGGTCCACGACTGGCGCCTCCATCGGCGGAGCGCGGTCGCGCGCTACGCCCAAGGTGTCTGTACAGCTGTCCATGCCGCGCTCGCGGGGTTTGTTCTCCTCAGCACTGATGGACCCCTGGCTGATCTAGCTGTGGGGTGGGACCTGCGTCGTGTGGATCGTGACCTGAGTTTGGTTTGTCGCATGGATTCTCAGGTCGTGAGACAGCCCCTACCTTACATCTAAGTACCCCCTAATGGAATCGTTGGATTATGCTGGTGTGTCTGGGTCGGACGCGAACGCAGTTGCAGACACTTCAAATCCCACTGCTCACAAGGAACACAGCCTTGGGCCTTTACTCGTTGAGTTGAACCCCCAGTTCCAATTGATTTCCAGGATACAAACACCGCCCACAACTATTTATTGATGTGTTTAAAATGAGGAATCCACATGGTGTCGACTTCTTAGAGGTGTACTATGGTGTACTATTACTTTTTTCTAGTGTATAGCACTTGCAGCAGTTCTTTTTGGGCTTAAGAAACTCCCGGAACCCAAGGAATCTGGAGGCTTCAGCGGTTGGGCTGGCCAGCCTATGCGCTACAGTGGCCTGGTGGCATGCCCACATTCGGGGTCCAAACTTTTTTTTTTTGTTTTTTCGTTTGTTCGATCATTTTCTTGTCGATTTCTGTTCATGTTTTCTTTTTTGGGATCAAATTAAGATAAAATTAACTGGGACGGCAACGCGACTCTGCTGCTGCTGAGTGCGTCGCTTTGAGCGGTCCGCTATAAAAGAAAAGTAACTGGAGTAATGTTGCCTGGTGGTAGATCATGCTTAGCACCCGCAGCTCAAGTGGAGCATAAGCAGGCAACAATTTGAGCTGCTGTTGGAATCGCTGACTTGGGGTTTGAGCCCTGAGCATTTTCATGGGGACGCACCCATGCATGGTGTCATATGGTGTCTTGGGTGGTGAGTAGTGGGCTACGACGCTACGAACGATGCCCCATACCATTGGGGTCCGAACGAAGCCATTTGTTCAGCACATTGTTTTTTCATCCGCAACCACTTGTGTGCATCACACCTCGGACTGATGACGACGCACCTCTTCTGATGACCTCTTCTGTTTCTCCGTCACTCCATCACGACTCCGAAAAAAGACGCAGAATCACCCAACAGCACCGTGGAGAACCACACAGGAGTGATGAACCACAGCAGAACAAAAGAACATGTTTCTCCACGCAGAAGAAGAAACTGCAGGTGAGTTGTGGATCTCCCGCGTGATGAACCACAGCAGGCCCGCCGTGGCCGTCGAAACACGCCACGATCCAAAGACGCACGGCTTCGGCCGAAGGGCGGCGAAACGGTGGTTTTTGGTCGGTGACCTTTGTAATTAGCCCACCAACATCGAAAAGCACAGATACGATGAAATACCCTAGGGCTCCAAGTACCTTCTGAGAAGGTCTTTGCATGGTATTTTTTTGGGGGGTCCAAATATTTTTTAGGGGGGGTCCAAATACCTTCTAAGAAGGTACGACTGGGGCCCTAGGGTGGGGTTTTCAGTGACCGAGCGTTCTGAAGTAAACTTTTGTCCTTGCACCTTAAGGACTTCGGTTTACGAACTTCGGTGGCTACGCTAGGAAATGGGACCTGACCCCATTAAACAAACAGATGCATTGGGTGAATCAAGCTGGAAACAAGAGTTACCAAAGAGTCAACTCCAGATTCAAGCCTTTATACAAACACGGTTGAGACAGGTACCTTCTGGCTTAACTCCAGAGTTGACTCTTTGTGGCATATTGTAAACAGGTGAAGGTTCAATTCCGCATTTGATCTCACCTCTATTCATTGTTTGTTCATGTCCATCTCAGATGCGGAGTTCAGCTTTTTTATTCACATGTTTGTTGTGACTTGACTGTGAAGGTAACTCTTTAGTAAGTCTTTCAGGGGCTTCAATGCAGATTCAATAGGGTGCAAAGAATTGTTGAACTGGCTTCGCTTCAGAGTTAATTGCTTTGGTCGTTGTCTTTTGGTCAGCTTCACTCTAGAGCTAATTGGGCCAAAAACATTTGTGTTGCTCAACTTGACTTCAGATTTCACTCTGGCATAATACTGCGCTGGACATGTGGACCTGCTTTTATCTTTTGTTTGCAGCTTGGTACGATTTCTTTGGCATGCTATGCTCTATCGAAGAGATAGGGCTTTAGAAGTTTCAGCAGAAGTTGTAGAGGCGCCAGAAGATGGCAGCAATGGGCCTGCAGTTGTAGATGAGGCACCTCTATAGAGGATGGCAATGTAGATGAGCTGTCAGAGCTCCTTTTGTTGCAGAAGCTGTGAGAAGGGAGGCGACAAAGCGCATGTTGAGTGCCCCGGATCCTACGTGTCATGGTCTCGCGCAAACAAGCGCCTGGAGCTGTACTTGCCGGGGTTGCCTAGCTTTGACAAAGCCAATGCCTTCTTGCATTGTCGTGGCGCTGGCGATTTGGAAGATTCCGCCTGCTCTGCACTTTAGTGAAGGGAGGGCGATGCTCCAGGCCAAGAATGAACAATTCGCATTCTGCAAGCAGCACAGTCATGAATGCTGAAACAGGAACGGCAACAAGAATGCTTGCAAGCGATGGCAGGCTCGAGTGTGGTTTCATCATGAGCTTCAATGTAGAACTCCATCTTTGAAGCAAAGAAACAAAAATGGGTCGATTGTTATTTATGTCTTCCCTGCAACTGCTTTTAGCCAGAAACTAACTTGTGCTGCGCGCAGGATGCCGCGGGCCGGTACGAGAGAGAACAGTTGGAAATGGCCCTGCAGCTTTCCTTAGCCGAGAACGCTGAGGCAGCAAAGAGGCGATCAGAGAGTCGGGCTAAGCTGGCCCCTCGTTTGAAGGAACTCGGTTTGGAGGCCTTGGACACACACAATAGCTGACGGAAGCTGCCAGTTCGTCAGTCTTCGCTTCGCGGCGCGTATCCGTGTGGATTGAGCAGATTTCCGTTCCCAAGTTGTGAATTTCCTCCGGCAGTTGCTGCAGATGTTTGCTGATAACATCAGCGCCAAATTCACCAGCTTTGAGGCTTACCTGCAAAACATGAGCATGCCCTCGACTTGGGGTCCCTTCAATCGGCAGCTTGCTTGTCTCCTTTTGACACCAATACGTGTCCTCTCAGACTCCGAAGTTGAATCAGAACGTCTTTCCACCCCACCCTACCATTGCCCTAGAAGTTTGGGGACAAGGCATTGTAATATGCCACGTTGGCAGCAATCACTTTGAAGCAACAGCGCCTCTGGCTGAAAGCCGGGCCGACGTGAAGGCGGAGCCCAAACGGATTAAGGTGGAGCGATAGAAAGGAGCATAACTCCACATTTAAGACCCTTTCAGCTTTAGATCTTATATCGACTAGCTCAGATCTAGAGCCCATACTTTGCACATTCTCCACTCCACATCCAGGGTATCAACTTGGAAGTGAATCCAAACAGAAAAGTCTGGACCAACCAAGCCTCAGAAAAGGCTCAACTCCAGAGTTCGCCTCTTCTCAACTCTTGATTCTAGCCACGCCCTGCAGTGGGTACTTGTACTCATTTTCTGAGGTTCGAGTTGAGACTTCAGATGGACAGTTGATGAATCATCCCCCTCCCGTGAATGCAGAGCTTTGACTAAACCAGCTCCCGCATATGAAGAGGTTTTCCCATCCATGTCTGCGGGGAGCTTCAGTAATGAACCTTCTATATTAATGGACCAATGTTCCAATGTAGAATGTATGTAAACACGTAGTACATCCCTACCCCCTTGAGCTACTTCCGGGAGGGGGGACCTCAAAAAAGTAAGTTACATTTTAGGGTACCCTAGGGGGTCAAAAAATGTAAGTTACCACCCCCCAGGCACCATCGAAACTAGTCAAGGGGGGGGAGGGGGGGGGAAAAAATGTAACTTGTTGCCTGGGACGTGCTTACTTACATTTTTCCAACCCCCCCCCTCGGGGGGTCGGCAGATCGAGGGGGGGGGGGTCTGGAAAATGTAACTTGGGACCTGGGAGGCCTGAAACACATCTTTTTTTACTCCCCCCCCCCTAGGGTGCGTTGGCAGATCGAAGATACGCCAATCACTAAGAAATTATTTGCGGGTGGGAGTCACTTAATGAAATATTTTCTAAATAAGTAATTAACTAAAAGTATTATTTGGCAACTGTTTGCTGATGCCTCAACAAACACCAAGGAAAACATAGCCTCCAAAAATGCAGGACCAGGACACAAGCGAAAGGTGAGATTTGCAGATGTCAAAAATTGTAACTTACAATTAGTCCACGCATCCAAACCCTCAGATTTTACAGGGAATACATGGGTTCTGTGAGAAAGTTTGACCTCACAAATTGTAACTTACATTTTGGCCACATGCCCAACTCCCCAGAATTTACAAGGAACTGGGGTGTCCCCCTGAGGTACTTACATTTTAGCATACTGAAAAGCACACACGTCCGACCACACGAACCGCAAGCAGGGGGCAAGAAACCAGGGGATCAAACGGCGTTGAATATCCTTGTTCTCCTGCCCAATAGAACAGGCAGCCTCTCCTTTATTGTTCTCCATTATTGTTTATTGTGTATGGAGTGTGATCGTCTGTTATGTTTGGGTTTCGCTTTGTTGCCTTCCTTTGGGGTCTTCAGTGGGAACATGTATGTTCCTGTTTCTTGGCAGTTTGCTTTGGGTTTGCTTCCTGTTCTTCTTTGTTGATGATGACTCAGACCCACTGCTGTTCCCTCATCTGCTTTGTTTTTGTGTGGCTTGTTGCTGCAGAAGGAGTTGTGTATGGAGTTGTGTATGGAAGACCCCCCCGGCCAAAAAGAATTGTAACAAAACAACATATATATTTTATATATCTGTTTTTTCAGTTCAAAAATGCTAACGATGCAGCCGGCCGCGGGCAGCATCATTCAACTTGATGGCTGACGGCTGACATGTTTCGGCAGGCATTTCCTTGAAATGCCGCATTTGACCATGCGGGACGTGGTCGTGAGCAGAAATTAGTGTGGGGGTGTGGGGGGGGTTCTAAAATTGTAAGCGCTCCTCTGTGCCTCAAAAATGTAACTTACATTTTTGAGGTCATTCCCCAGGAAATCACCAATGAGGCCTCAAAAAATGTAAGTTACCTTTTGAGGCCACCTCAAAGTTAATGTAATTACATTTTTTGAGGCCCTGCGCGCAGGAAAATGTAACTTACAATTTTCGACGCCCCCCCCTTCAGGATAGGGTAGGGATCGTAGTACCATTTCACTAACCAAATCTATATTAGCAATTTCCTATTTGGACTCTACTGTGGTAAAGAAAGGGGACTGGTCAGACCGGTTGCGGAGCGAATTTTGAAGAGATTCCCCTGTGGGTTCCTGGCCCATCTCCGTAGGTTCGGTGGTTATAAAGACCCCCAAAATAAACCCACCCCGGCTCCGTCCTCGAAACGGAGGTAGATGATGAACAAGAGATTGACTGACCTACTGCTTGGATTTTCCAACTGAGTATCAAAACCAGGCAAGCTATGTACATATAAACATTGTTGCACACATGGCTTACACAGTTGGAAGAGCCGATCGGTCTCCCGGCAACCCGGGGACGATCGGCCGAGCCCATGGTGCGAAGTAGTCGCCAACAAAGAGGGTACAGACTGGTCTATTTCCCGAACTGAACCCAGGAGTCGGAAGGCCGAAGGTCGGTCTCCTTAAGACTGAGCTACACATCCAATTTTGAACTACATTTGTATACACGATGATATACACATCTGTACTGTAGTTTCTTTGTAATAGGTTCTGGGTTTTTTGAGAGCGACAGACAGTTGGTGCAAGAACAACACAGGCGACCTTAGCATCGCTCGCGAGCCTGCATCACTCGACAACAATAGTCCACCATTCACGGGCCTGTGAACACCACCAGATTTTGTAGAATATTTACATTTACGGATGTGTTTAAACAGTGTTTCTCTAGTACATCTTAGTAATTATCTTATCATACATTTCTTCAACAAGTCTCCGGGAATTTGCTTCGTTCCTCTGTTTCTTGTGTAGTTTCTACGCTGTCAGGTGTGCAAGCGTCTCCTGTTTGTTGCAGCTGCCGGCGGTCGAGCTGCGCGACGCGTATCTGGCGATCCCCAACGGACAGTCCGGGGAACTCAGTCGGTCGCTGGAGTGGACCTTTCGGGCGGTCAGCGGCGTGCTTTCCGGTCTGCCCGGTTTGCGAACAGGTCGGGTTGCTTACGGAAGGTCTACATCTTCAAGAGTCCAACAAAACATCAGGCCTGTTCACACATTTGTACATATTGTATAGTACATGTATATTATACGCACCAACTCACCAACCATCATTTGGTCACCCCATAATGTATGTGTTGCTGCAAGGATGGAGCCAAGTGTACATGACAAGCATGAGATCTTTATTCATGTCATACTCCTTTGACCATCAAAACGGCGGAGAACTCTTCCTTCAACAGTAGGGAGCCAGGAGATGCTTTGGCGCCGAATATTTCTGCTGAGATGTACATGTTTCACGCTCTTCCGATGAACGAAATTGGCGTGAAACAGGCGCAGATCAGACTGGTCAAGGCTCTCTGCAGCTCCCCAAGCGTTTTTGCCCGAGCCCCGCATACAAGTTATCCAACACCTTGAACTCAAACAAGACCTCACAGCAGATCCAGTCTATAGCTGGCAACCAATGGTTTCAGAAATATCCCAAAACTATAGATCAAACCCCGTTTGTTTATCAAAATCTATGGACACCCTGCTTCCCCATATTTATAGGGTTGCAGCTGGGATTCGCTGGGCAAGTTCTTAACCTTCCCCCATCGATCATGGAGATCCACTTTGTTACCACACATCCCTGCAGGCATCCCTTCTGAAGCACTGACACCTTACACTGCAGTGCACTGCAGGGCTGGACTTGCCAGGACTTGCAAGCATCGTGTCTTTACCCCCCCACACACTCCAAACGAAAGACTCAAAGCACCGCAAAAACATGCAAGAACACCTCCCCTTCCCCGGAAAAAACACAAACAAGAGACTTTTCCATCCAAGCAGAACAGCCCATCCAAGCACTGGCCCATTGGCCCAGCCCGGCCCGTGGCCCCACCACCCCCACGTTGTTTTTCTCCTTTGAACGGCGGCGCGAAGTGAGGTGTTGCAAGCAGCTCTTTGGAAACCCCATGATCCCATGGGCCCCCACGGTGGACAACGTGGAGCTCTTCGAACATCCCTTCGACCTGGCGCTGGAGCAGAAGGCGCTGAGCGGAGCCGAGCGTGATATGCGACGCACTTCTTCACCCATTGTTAGATTTTAAGCTTGTCCACTTGGGATCACTCAAAGTAAAGCACAATTTATTTGTTTCTTTGCGTTTTTTGTTGGGTCGCGCTGCCTGTTGTTTTTGGGACCCTTTTTTGCGTGCTGTTGTGTGATATCTTTGATGTTCGCGCGGCGCTTCAAAAGGGTGACTGGGTGACTGGTTGTGAAAAAGTGCGTGATCTGACTGGACGATGAAGAAATATAAGAGATCAATCACGATCAATCAGGTGAAGTAAAACTGCTGGGATTTGAGGTTCTACTCTGGGACTCATTTCTCTTTTGAAACCAAGCATCTCTCAGATGCCCCGAACCTCGCGGGGAATGGCCACGATCAAACGCGGGCCACGCGCGGGCCGGGATGACCGATTGACCTGCATGGCTTTCGACACATCGAGATCCACGAATTCGATTGACACATTCAACCATTGAACACATCCAAATGTGTATCAACATAGACCCCCCCCCAAGGACCCTCTGGAAGAATGAGGACCAAACCTCATTGGATCTGATCGGGGTTTGGGGGATCTTCCTCGTTCCCAATACACATCCCAAGTGTGTCCCAAATGTGTTGACACTGGGTGACCACCCTCAACTCATTGATCCCAGATATACTCCGAGTATCTTCCAATTTAGGTTGCTGCGTGAGATGAAATCCATGAGTTCCAGATGTACTTTGCAGCAACACTACTATCCCAGACACGACCCATGGGACTGCCGTATATGCCTACATTATCCTACATTGGGGTGGTGCCAGGGGGTCAATGGGGCGGCAGTCCTATGGCAGTCCCACACGGGTCGTGTCTGGGTATCCAGACGGTTCCGGCAGTCCGTTGAATCTGAACCCACGGAACGAGCCGAGCCCGAACTGAGCGGGATGAATCTGAGCCACGGTGACCACACTTCGGACCAGCGGCTTGGCCTCGTTGGTCTTGAGCAAGTTCCGGCTCGAGTCTGAGCCACGAGCCAGACCTGGCGCTGTTTTCAGATGCACATGCAGTTTCAGTGCCAGAATCGCCTCTTTTAAGAAAGGTCGACGGCATGGATGGATCTCCCTTCGACTTCCATCTCGCATGATGAAAAAGCGGGAAACCACATGATGAGATTTCCAAGACGATCTCTTTTCGAGATGATCCTTGGGCTGTGCAACTACCGGACAGACTCAGAAATCTGCGGACAGATGATAATGATGAAGCACCCATGATGAAAGCATGGATTGAGATGATTAGAGATGACTTGACTTGCTGACTATGACCAGTTCAAACAATGCCAGCTGCAGGTGTTCACCGCTCTCCACGCTTCAGCCTAGCTGAAGTGGTCGCTCCAAGTATGGTGTTCAGCCTCTCCTGTCGGGGGAAAACGACACATCAATCTGAAAACATTTGGACACCGTGGGTCTTGGGTCTCTCCTATTACCTGTAACAGTCAGTAAACAGTTGTCATCCTTTTCAAACAAGGCCTGCAACTGAACCATCATCCACTGGGCCCAGGTAATAGGATAGACCCAGTTTGGACACCCATGAATCGAATTCTACACTCCCAACCACTTCTAAAGGAACTGTTTTGGGGGGGAAACTGGCTTTCGAGGAAAGACCCGTGCCACGTGCAGAGGAAACCGCCTTTTTGGAACTCGACCTGTTCACTTGGGGAAGACACGACGCTTTCAACCGCAGTGTGAGGGTACAGAGTGGTGGGAGAGAGATTGACATACCATATTACATATACCTGTACCCATCTTCCAAACTGCACCAACCTGTTTTTGCCTTTTTGATAATGGAACAACAAAACACAGCAGCAACAAAGGGCTCCATGGCTGGAAGATCCAGGTCTCCGGTCCCATCGGGTCCCCTCGGGTCTCCAGTCCAGCCTCTGCAGAGCTGGGCGCAGATTCATCGACGACGCAAACCGGAGCGCTGTAAGCCGGACGCTGTACACTGGACTGGGGGGGACTCCCAGATGCGCCATCGATGCGCTTTTCTTCCCCCCGCATAAGCACCTTTGAACCAAAAGACCGAACGGCACGGTTCCTTTGCGTGTTGGTAGGTTCCTGATGTACCTTTGGTGCTTGGGACCAACACTGACGATGGCGCGGAGTTCTTCTCAGAGTTGAACCTTACCAGTGGCCTGGGCAGTCAGGGATACTCCATGCTGGGCCCATGAGTGTGTCGACAGCTTTGAACTGGGGTGAAACAGCTTGGTCCCCTAGTACTGTAGACGCTTGATGAAACAAACCCTCGCATTTTGATTGTAAGACCTTTTCCCATGGGGTGGGTTAGTAAGTCTTTTTATATATTGATAGGCTTCGCACACCGGCGATGCCCTCGGGCTCAAGCAGCAGGGGAGGGGGTGCATGTGGAAGCAGCCAGTTGGAGGCGCGCCCGGATGTGGACAGGTTAGTGTGTTGCGTATGACAGGTGGCTGCGAATTGTGGGAAGGCCAGCGAGCAGAGAACCACGAAGGTAAACACATAAAAGGACTTGCCATTGGAACCAGAACTTTGCCCAAAATAAACCAGCACTCAGGATTTGGAAGGACCTCATGTGGGTTGACCTCATGTGCACACAGCAGCTGCCGCCAATTCTTTTCAAGCGAGCCCCTGCTTGATCCATCCAGTCTATGAGTCTGGAGCTCAGCTCTTGGGAAGGGCTGCAACGGCCGCATTCGCACATTCCCTCGCCTGCCAGTGGGACCCAAACCCCAGTTCCCACACACAGACTTTCCAGACCAATCCAGCCTCCTCTTTGGACTTCCCAGCCCTTTTCGCCGCACGGTACACGCGGCTATACACATTGTTGGGATCCATCTTCAGGGTTTTCTCTTTCTTCTCAGTCTCAGACTCAGTGGATTTCTTCTCTTTCTTCTCAGACTCAGTGGACTTCTTTGGCCGAGCTTTTGCCCCGCACTTCGCTTGAGGGGGGGGGCTTTGGGGCCTTTGGGGATGCCGTCTCTGAGTTCTTCTGGTCTCGAGTCCGTGCCATTGGTGTAGCTTGTCGCAGGAGCCTTCAAAAAACAATTTGTTATATAAATCAGTCTGGTTTCCTTTTGGGCAAAGTTCTGATTCCAGTGTGCTTACAATGGTTTTTTATATAGACAGGCCTCTTGGGTAGTGGCGAATCTTCGATAATCTCCAAATTTTTCTTCAGTGGATCCTAATTCAAAAGCGGACATGTATGGATTCCAAACGACCGGTGACATAGTCTGTATATTGTATACATACCACGCAGCGTGTTTAAACAATAAATTGCTATGCAAGAAGCATTGTCCAACTTGGAGGGGTCACCATGATAGGTTGAAGACTTGGGCACCTCGGTTGGGGTATGGAAGCATCAACAGGTACAGTACATCAGCAGGTATTGTCACCAAAAGGTTCAGTGATCTTCTTAGTAAAGAACGGCAGCAGGGTTCAAACGATCCTCAGCAACTTGGCCAAGACCAGGAGATTCCAAAGTAGATCCATCCTGCAGACCACTCTGTCAGGAATACAGTTGTTCCATGAGACATGCCCCCCAAAAGACTCTCCTGGGTATGTGGGCCGCTTTCAGGAGCATCGTGGTCCTGACTGCGTGTTCAAGTGTTCAATGTTTCTCAACATCGCCCGCAAGTGCTTCAAGCTCCTTCTCAAAAACAAACAAAGAAGGTCCAGAAAAAACAAACAAACTCCTTCTCAATCTCATTCTCCAACACATGGGCCCCACCGGTCTCAATCTCCAAACCACGATCCTGACAAATCAACCAGTGAGAAATCACTGCCCAGGCGAACGTTTCATGGCCGGAGCACCTTTGGCACCTTCATCGTGAGAGCGTTTGGGATCTCAGCCTGATGAAATCGCCCAGTGAGAGTTCACATGTTTTGCATGAAGTATGAAGTCATGGTAGGAAGTCATGACATTTGGACATGTTGGACATGACAGTTGGATAGGCAGCCATTGCACCTTCTCTTCCTCCATGCTCTTTTGGTTCTGGTCGGGCACCTCCATGGTCACCAGGTTCTCAATCTCCATGGCCATATCATGGTCCTGGTGCACAGAATGGGATGGATGTAAAGCAAAAATAAAACATAATAAGGTGTCAGTGTCTTACTCACTGTTATTATGTTGTGACATTATGCATGCAAGATTATCCAGTATTCTCAAGTCCCCACAAATCACACTGCTAAAAGTCATGGTAGAATCACTGTGACTGTGCGCAAGCGCGCTTGCCACTTCAGGTCGAAGCTACACCTGGGTACTACACTCCATGTTCAGGCGAGATGCTGGGAGAGCTGGGAGTTCAAGTGCTGGGGGTTCGAACGTGCGATGAAGGTTCGTTCAAGAAGGTTCATTCATGCGATGAAGTGGGAGTTTCAAGATTCATTGCTTCATAGTTTTTTTTGGCCCAAGCCTCTTGACCTTTTGACTTTTTTCCCTTGCAGAGGGCGCCATGGAAGGTCAATGGGTTTGGGCATGGGTGCCGAAGCAGCCTGTGATGCCTGTCATGGCACCAAAGGGCAGGCCACCCAGCCAGATCTTAACAAGGCCACCCAGGCAGATCTTGACAAGGCCGCCAAGCTGAATCTTGACAAGGCCGACAAGGCCACAGACCTGAAGGCCACCCAGTCGAATCTTGACAAGGCCACGGACCTGAAGGCCACCAAGCCGAATCTTGACAAGGCCATGGACCTGAAGTCAGATGTGAAGCAGGGCAGCCCTTTTGATGTTGGCCCTGTGGCGACTGGATTTGTGGATCTTGGCCTCAAAGATCTTGGCAAGCCTGGCCACGCCGGCAGCTCCTTGAAGCCTGAGCCCAAGGTGATTCCGCCACGGTTCTCGAAGCCGGAGATCGCCATCCCCAAGAAGAGGAAGAGTCCCCACAAGCCATACATCCCCAAGAATGAGGAATTGGAAGAAGTCCATGTGGATCAGGATGAGGATTCTGACGATGTGATGGAGGTGCGATCCCAACCCGCCCCCCAAGAAGATGCCAGTTGAGAAGGATGCAAAGGCTGCCAAGGCCTACAAGATCTTTGAGGAGCGCACCAAGAAGGTCGAGACAACAAAGACCAAGAGTGCCAGCTCCACCAAGACGGTGACGGAGACCGAGACCTCTTCAACCGCCCCTCAAACCTGGAAGGCCGATGAATGGTATGAAAACTGGTGGTGGTGGCCACAGGATTGGTCTGGAAGGCCATGGGAGAAGCTGGAGACTCAGGATTCTGCTGAGCCTGAGCTCAGGTGAACCGCCGGTCAAGCCGGTGAATTTTTCCTTGGGCACCTTTGCAAGACATGCAGGTGTGACGCGAGCTTGGACTTAACTTGAAGTGTGAAAATGCATCACTGCTGCTTTGGGGAGGTGGGTCAATGATTCATGCAAATATCAGGCACAAAAACATCGGGTGACTCATTTCTCATGACATGTTAATACGCAGTCCTTCCAGGCATAGACGTCCCCTTCACCCAGGTTGTTCATGAAGTTGACGTCCCCCTGCCATGGGTCATATGACATACTAGACTATTAATATCTATTAATAAACAGTCTAACATGCCGCAGAAAGAGACACAATGTGGCGAGTGGCGACCGACTGAAACCCCAGCCTCAAAGAATGTGTCCATGACAGCTTTGGTCTCGGCGTCAGAGGCGCGTTTCAAAGCCTCATCCAGCATGTTCTGGCTGACATTTCCCTCACCACCATCTTGGTCTCTGGGAGGGTCATCTTGGTCATTGGTCGTAGAGCTAACTGAACAGGCATCATGTTTCTTCCCTTTCGGCTTCTTGCCATGGCCTTTCCGGTCGCTTTTCTTACGGGTTTTGGTCTCTTTCTTTTCATTTTTCTCTTTCTTGCCAGTCCTCTTGGACCCTGTGGCAGGTGGCAAAGCATCATCGTCCTCGTCATCATTGCCCTTGCAGATACCAAGGCTGGTATGTTCGGAATCAGGCAATTCTTTTTTCTGTTTCTTCTTTGCAGCAGTTTTTTTTGGAAGCTGGTCGTTTTGAAGGACGTGGTTCAGGTTCTTCTTCAGAGACGGCGTCCTCCTTCTGTTCACTCGAGTGTTGTTCTCCTGAAGAGGTCCCTGATTCCATATCACATCGTTGCAATATACCAGCTCCTACGAAGACATGTCAGTTAGTCATACTTTCCAGTACAATGAGGGGCCCCTCAACTTAAGAAAGTTATAACTATGTTAGCAGAGTTGTAACTTAGTTAGAAATAAGTTAGCAGAGTTATGCTTAAGTTAAGATATAACTTACATATAAGTAAGTTATAACTTCGGTAACTTGTAAGCTGCTGAAAAAAAGTGAATTTTGTATCGCGCTACACTTTTGAATGTGGACCTGAATGGTTTTTAGTTTTTAGTGTTTCGACCACTAAATTCTTTGTTGAAGCGCAATCCTTGAGGTCGTCCTCGGAACGCATTATATTTAATAGCTATGAGAAAAGTTCCTTTTACACAATTTTTGTTTGTAAATTTGGAAACATGTGTGTGTTGTGGGCGGGCGACCGCCGTTTCATGCGTGTGTGTGCGTGATCATATGCACCAAGTAAACATATGATAACATATGTCTATATAGTTTTTAAATGTATGTATATTTATACCCATACAAAATGTCTAATGTGTGTGCATGCACATAACCATATAGCGGGCTACCGCTACACCACTGCAAGCGCAAATGCGCCTTTTTCAAAACAAGCGCAGAACAGTTTCGCCGTCCAGGTGCCACCACACAGGTTGGTGTAGCTGTAGCAAATCTTTGATATTTTTAGCTACCCTACGATCTGTACGAACAAAAGTTCGAGAGAATGGAACACTAGTTTGGATCTCTCGCAAATTTTCAAGTACGCAAAACATTCCATCTGCTTCTTCTACGAAGAAGTGTACCCAACCGGCTTGACCATCGAAACAAATCACATCGTCAGATTGCACATGAGCCGCTTGGATCTGGAAGGCGTTGCTGATCCGGACACGTGTCAAACCAGTCGCAGCCTCGACGGCTTCAGCACCATGGATCTGGCCTGCCATCTTGTTCATCCAAGGGTGCTCTGCCAAGCTCCACGCTTGGCGATGCGACAACCTTGCCAGAATCTGCTTGCTGGATTGCCCTTGACGCGCTACAAACTGGGCGGAAAGGTCATCTGCAAGACTT